TAAACATGTGGTTTCAGAGATTGATTTTGTCCTAGAAGAACCCTTTGTTGTACTGCATGTCATTGGCAGGTTCCCACATCATATCTGAGGGAACAGAACTTGTTCTGACTGACTAAGTTGATCTTCTCATATATTATTTATTTAACAGGATCATTCCTATTTATATTTGTATTCTTCATATTTATTTAAGAATGAGGTTATTTATAGTATGCTGATTAATTATTGTGTATGGTAAACCTTTGTGAATTTAAAGTATAGGTGTAGATAGATGTATGCTGGAAAAAATACTTAAATAGAATAAGAATAATATAAGAAATAAGAAAGCAGGAAAGGATAAAGCAAAACAAAAAATAGGTCAACTCCAGGCTTGTTTCTATCTTTAAGTCTAGGTTTGCATATGCTCTGCAATGGATATGTGCACCTTTGCTTGGATGCAATAGCAAATTCCTGAGGCAAATTCTTGGATGAGGGGGGACAGTGCTCATGACAAATGCCCTAGTGTGGAGATAAAATTAGGAGGCTGAGGCCCGGGGGAGTACTTTAGGAATTTCTGGGTGGGGATATGCCGCTGGGACCCTGGAACCCTTAACCTATACCAGAGCTAGTTCAGCTGAATTTTGCTACCCTATACTAGAGTAAACTCCCCAAATCCCTCCTATCCTAGAGTAGCTGTTTTCTTGAAACTACTGGGGTCACTAGCACAGTCTAGCCAAAACCAAACCTTATAGCACAATCCCTAGTCTAGATAAAATCTTCAACCAACTGATCAGTTTCCTGAAATATGATACGCTATTCTAGACCCAAACGCTCTGATTTATATACCCTATCCTAGAGTAAATTGCTTGAAAACCATACCCTTCACAGCGGCACACACCTATATAGCCCATATATGGCAGTATCCCCCTCCCACTCCCCCGAAGCAAATAGCCGGAAGTAAGGGAAAAAACAGTTTTTACTGTACTGTGAACATTTTAATCACATTTAACTGTAGAAATGTCAAGTTAAAATGGAACGATGCTTCTAGAATATAAACCAGAACGAATAAACGTCACAAAACATAGCCTAAATAGAGCATAGATTTAACTGTTTTGAGAAGCAAAACTGTTTCACGTTAGATTTGTGACAAACAACATTAGCCTCACCTAGTACGGTATATGCCGACAACATGTCAATGGAAAATTCAAAATTCAATGTTTCGGACGCCAGTACACTGTTTTTTTTTCCGACTTTATAAGCGCTCAAACAAAACATGGTTCGAGTTATCGAGGGTAAATTTATATAGAAATGATCTGAGGGGAAACAAAAATTACTTCGAGTTAGCGGGAGGTTCGAGTTACCGCGGGTAAAACTACAGTAAATGTATGAAGGAAATCCAGGGGAAATCGATTTCGGTTCGAGTTAGCGCGAGGTTCGAGTTATCGGGCGTCGACTGTATTTCGTAAGGCAGTCTTGCAAAACAAAATTCTCATACGGAGTTTGTATTAGTCACTATTCAGGAATTTCGTATCGTTAACAGTCATACAACTTCAAATAACAGTATCCAGGACCATGTACCTCTATCTCCAAGTAGCTTTACACTCAAGCCAGAAAAAGTGTAATCATCATATCACAATGCGCAAACCATTTTAAACTACAGTCGACTTCCGATAACTCGAACCTTCAAGGGAAATCGAAAAAAGTTCGAGTTATCGAGAGTTCGAGCGGGAGCCAGAAGCAAATAGCCGGAAGTAAAGGAAAAACCAGTTTTTACAGTACTGTGAACATTTTAATCACATTTAACTGTAGAAATGTCAAGTTAAAATGGAACGATGCTTCTTGAATATAAATCAGAACATAACGTAGTGGGGGGGGACAGGGGGGGTGACAACTTCCCGCTTCCCGTACCCCGTTCTCCCGCCTCCCGTACCTTTTTGTTCCCTTGTCTCCCGACTCCCGCCCTTTATTGTATTTTTCCCGTCATCATGTAAATTAAAAAGATCAGAAGCCCGGGTTTAGTGTTAAAGCTGTAGGGTAATTTGCCAAAGATGAAAATTGTTACAAGTCAGTTTTCTTAGTTAAACTGAGTTTTCATTAACCTGGTTATCTAGGTTTGACCACCGCTTCTGACATCCCACTACAGCGACAATAGTCTCAGTCCACTGTGCAGTGTAATAGCTATTGCAGTTATCAAAGATGCATTAACATGCATTTAGGAATCCCGAAATTACGGGGATCATGCCAAAATGAAGCCGAAGGGCCAAACGTTTTTCTTTGTTGTCTATGAAGTCCAACCGGACAGCGTCCCACGCTGTTTGACTTCCTATTCTAATAGGGAGTGCTTTGGCCTTATCCAAAACAAAAAATTGCGTTGTATATCTAACCACTCAGCACTCTCCAGCGCGATCATTGAATTTGCATTCCCTGGACACAAGTTTGCACCACGCCGTAAAATCTTTAGTGTTTTGCAAACTACAATCGTACAGAGCGAGCTCCCAGGAAGGTCTTCCATGTACGGATTTTTCCACACCACACCGAAAAATACTTAGACCGATTAAAATGGTCTTTGACGACATTTTACCTGCGAGACAGGTCAAACAGACGAGACACTCGACTTACACAGCCGACACACGTGTACATGTGTCACGCCACCTCATTCAAGAGGACTCGTGACCTATGATGTAACCAACTTGGAAAGCTTTCCAATTTCACCGGAAGTATTGCTCTTTTTTCTATCCTGAGTGCGAATTTACGTTTTTTGACTTTTCTTGTATTAAAATTTTGATTTAGGGCCTTGGAGAACGTTAAATGGAAGTCAAGAAACTTTGTTGGGTTCGTTTCTTTGACCGGATGATGAGCAGTAACAATTAACGAAAGCTTGCCTTTTGGAATTTCTCTCCCTCTTCCCGCCATCATAGAGATCCCGCTTCCCGCCCTTTCCTCTCCCGTCTCCCGTACCCCTCCCGCCCCCTGTTCTCCCGGGCTCCCGCCCCCCTGTCCCCCTCCACAACGTAACAAAACATAGCCTAAATAGAGCATGCATTTAACTGTTTCGAGAAACAAAGCGGTTTCACGTTAGATTTGTGACAAACAACATTAGCGTCCACAAGTAAGCTATATGCTTACAACACGTCAATGGAAAATTCAAAATTCAATGTTTCGGACGCCAGTACACTGTTTTTTACCCGGCTTTATGAGCCTGCAAACAAAATATGAAAAAGGTTGAGTTTGATCGTCCGGGTGAACGTAGTCCTGAATAGGACTGTTGTTGTTGACAGTGACTGACGTTTCGACAACCTGTGCGGTAGTCATCTTCAGAGTCAAAGTGACAGTTTGACTAACAATAGACGACTGTTTAACTGCGGACAATAGACGGATCGAAACGCACCAATCACTGATTACGAGTCTTCATAGCCAATAACATCACGGCTTAACTGACAGACGACCAATAACATCGCGACATAATTGACAAATCAGATCAATAACCAGAGTATAATACCATCAACTGACATGATACAACTCACTTTGACTCTGAAGATGACTACCGCACAGGTTGTCGAAACGTCAGTCACTGTCAACAACAACAGTCCTATTCAGGACTACGTTCACCCGGACGATCAAACTCAACCTTTTGAAATGACTCCTGGGTTCAAACCTTTCACAAACAAAATATGGTTCGAGTTATCGAGGGTAAATTTATATAGAAATGATGTGAGAGGAAAGAAACATTACTTCGAGTTAGCGGGAGGTTCAAGTTATCGAGGGAACAATTACAGTAAATATTTGAAGAAAATCCAGGGGAAATCGATTTCGGTTCGAGTTAGCGCGAGGTTCGAGTTAGCGAGGGTTCGAGTTATCGGGAGTAGACTTTATTTTATTTGCATCACGCGGCTGGCAGACCAATGTATCCCCATTATGGTCATTATGGGGATCTTGCTCATATAAACCGACATATACTCTAGGCATATGGTGTGCAGCTTCAGGTGTAAATGTTTCAGCAACACCTCCGACAGGATTTCAAGAACAGATTATTCTAGGCATTTTTTTTCGAAGTATAAGGCTGGGGAATGAGGAGGGGGCTAAGCCACTTCCTGCACCCCTGACATCTTGACCTGTTACTGCACGCCATATTTAGTATGAATCACATCTGTTCCACTAAATGGTGTAATCTCTGCTTTCTCAGATGCCAAAATGTATCTCCCACGACAAGTACAGCTAACTAAATTTGTATCACAATTTGCAACAAAGCATTTAACTCTATTTAGCACTGTCTACCGAATACTACTGTCTACGTCTTTTTAAAAAATCTATTCTAGGTGACACAACATTTTCTGATCAAAGGGTGGTCTCACTAAAAACACAACGGAAATGTATCTATATCGTTGTGCAAGCCTAGTAACTGAAAAAAAACTTGTAATGTTTCTAAACTGGATCTCTTCTTACATTGTTTCGACCTACAGGAAGAGTTAATGGATCTTTTTACTCGTTATTATTGAGATGGCTACTGCAGCAGTGACACCCCTGGCTAGTTCTGTTGAGAAGACAAATGGAGCCAAGCTCAACAGACTCCTCATCGATGGTGGAACTACAGTTCTTAGAAAGGCTTTTGATTGTTATCACCCTCCCGCAGGACTGGCTACTGATCTCAATACCTACAAACCCCTGTTAATGAAGCTATTTAGAAAAAAAGTTTTGCGTAAACCTCAGTGGGAAAAACTCTTTCCACCTACCGGAGCCTCGCCAGATTCAAGCAAATTTGATATAACTCTTCTTTTTGTTCTTTTGACCAACATTTGTGGACTAACCCCTCCTGGCTTAGATTGGTACACTAACCCTGCGCCAAGCGACACCTCTTTTGAAGCTAACCTTGCACGCGTTAGGTTCTATCGCAATGAATTGTATGGTCATGTGACAACCACTGGTGTAGACTCCCTAAGCTTTGCTTCTCTTTGGGCTGAAATTAGCCGTGTTCTTGTGAGTCTTGGCCTTGCTAAGGCTGAGGTAGATCGTCTTAAGTCAGAGAAATGTTCAGAGCAATCAAGTCCGATTTAAAGAAAATACATCAGAGCGAAAACAGGTTGCAGCAAGCGGTGGACGACGTGCGTCAGACCCAGGTCAAGACTCATAAGACAATGGAGGACATGTACCAGAATCAGACTAATACTCAACAAAGCATTGAAGGAGTTTGTAAGACTGTGGCTGAAGTTCTTCGGACTCAGATAGAAGAAGTCCGTCAGACCCAAACAAAAAATGAGCAGGAATTGAAAAAAGTTGCAGCAGGTTTTCAAGAATTAAATACTAAGGTGGATAGTATTAAAGAAGAAGGGGGCAAGGACAGGAATGATGAAGTGCTTCAAAACCTTGCCAAGTCCGAATTCAGAGGAGACATTGAGTATTACGTGGAACGATTTCAAACAGGCACCCGTGAGTGGGTCTTCGACAGAGTTCAAAAATGGCTGGATGACAGAGGCTCTCAAAACCGAGTGATGGTGATCAGTGGAAATGCAGGGATGGGAAAATCTGTTATTGCCGCTGTGATCTGCAAGAGAATGCAAGAGGCTGGCAGACTGACAGGAAGCCATTTTTGTAAGTACAATAATGTACGTTATTGCAAGCCGCAGTTGATGCTTCATTCTTTGGCCTTCCACTTGTCCACTGCACTACCTGAGTACAAACAAGCTCTTGTAAAACAGCTGTCACGAAATCTGGGTGCCAATCTCAACAATATGAGTGTTGAAGAGCTGTTTGCACTGCTTTTTAAGGAACCTCTAAGTGCCGTAGGCGATCCAGGGAGAAACATGCTCATTGTAATAGATGGCTTGGATGAAAGTGAGTACCACGGACGAAATGATCTTCTTAATGTGATTTCACGACAGTTTTGCCTGCTTCCTAATTGGATTCGTTTTCTTGTTACAACGCGTCCAGCCACAAACATTGCAGAGAAATTAAAACACTTAAAGCCGTTTGAATTAAAGCATGATGATCAGAAGAATTTGGAAGACATCAGAGTGTTATTTACAAAGAAACTGCAGGACATGCTCAAACCTGTAGAAGAAGAAGAAGAGTCTGAGCTTCTGGAAAAACTTGTTTTGAAATCTGAGGGGCTCATGTTGTATGCTGATTTTCTTGTTTTGTTCATTAATGAGAATGCATCAGCTCTGCACCAGAAAGACCTTGATGGTAGTTTGCCATTAGGAATTTCTTCAGTTTATGATTTCTATTTTAGTCGTCTGCAGGATGAACTTACACGTATCAAGGAACTTGACATTAAAGAAGAACATTTCCTGAATTTACTATCTGCCATTACTGCATCAAGAGAACCCTTGCCAGTTGGGTTTGTTTCTAAAGTGTTAGTCCCTGGAATTAATTCACCTCTTGCAAGACGTAAAGTGCTTAAAGCTTTAGCCAGTGTATCCGCACTTCTTCCTATTTGTGATGAACGTCTCCATGTCATCCACAAGTCGGTGAAAGACTGGCTGACTGACACATCATGTTATGGAGAACATGAATTTATCGTGGAAGAGAAGTATGGACATCAAATACTTGAAGAGCTATGTATTGACGAACTTGTCGGTTTGAAACGGAAAGGTGCTGGAAACGCGCAGTTAAGCGCCACTGAGAAGTATGCCCTGTATCACTGTGCTCGTCACATGTTACACTCTGGAGTGGACATAGAACCACTTAAAGTGGACGAGCTGACAAAGGCCTACGTGATAGATTTAGAAATACTTTATGCCAAAATTTTAATGAATGGCTCAGTGGCCGCCGAAGACCTTCTTTGGCTTGAAAAGACGGGCATTTCTGCAATATTATCAGAAGAGAGCAAAAGTATCTTGGATACATTGTTGTTTCTATTGAGAAAGTTCCTGAACAGATTCACAGACGCTCCTCGTACGTTTCTCCAAACCATTCTAAACGAGGGAGGGAAAGTGTTGTCCTCTAAAGCGTCGAACCTTTTACAGAACGGGTATCCTGGAATACCATATATGGAAAATCTTCACAAGGAGCCGCAACAGGGAGGCGTTGAAGCTCGATTTGAATGTTCAGCTTGTGTGGTCTGTTTGGACGCCTCACCGAAGTTGGAGTATATGGTCTGTGAATGTTCAGACGGAATGCTTCAGCTATGGTCACTCCATACTGGTAGGCGGATGTGGACACGCCCAGTAAAAGAAAAAAGGTGTTTTAAGAGGGACTATGAACACGAAGCCTTTCGAAAGTTGCCTTCAGTAGATGTTGCTTCATTTTTTCGCTCCGTTGTTTTCCATCCTATTAAACATATTGTTTTACCTGGGATTCTCAGTCACGCGTACGGTTTGGAAGGGGAATTAAAACCACTTTTTCCCAAAAGTGGTTGTAGGTTCTCGGTTTGTTCTATTTCCGGTGACAAGAGCAAGATAGTTACGGATTGCCCTCAGAATTCTAAGTGCCTTTTCCTTTGGAGTTTAAAAGATGGTTCAGAGATTGATCGGATATCCAGAGATGAAGACATTTTATCTTTTGCTTGGTCCCGAGATGGGAGACTTCTCGCCATTTCCCATTCTTCGGGCTTGATTTGTTTGGTTGATGTGATGCATGATTTTATTGAACTGGCCCAAACAACTACCACAAAAGTATGTGGAATCCTAAAATTTTCACCTGATCATCAATCCCTTTTTTGTTGGCATTGGTACAAGTTCTTTAACCAACAAGTCTATCGTCTCGATGTAGATATGGACAGCGTCCGCAACACGTATTCTTTAAACGTTGTTGAAAATGTCTCTTATGATTACCAGAGTTTTGAATCTTTTGATGATTGCGGTTTTTTATTGGGAGATATTGTTGTCTCCGAACAGACAGGCAGTATGCTTTTTGTTCTTGGAGAACAAAGTCTGTTGCGCTGCCTGGGTAGAGTAATCGAAATGGTGAACATTTTAAATGCAAACAAGAGAGTTCGATGCGTAGCTTCCAAGATAGCACTGAGTTTGGATGGCCGTACCGTCTATGTTTCTAGCTGTGGAACAGTGACCGCTTGGGACTTGGTAACTGGAAATCCTCAAGCTGAAAAAAACCTCGAGATTACGTGGCCGAAAATTTTCATTCCCCTGAAAGAAGGTATCTTAATTACAACTGGGCCCAAAATTTTCGAGTTGTGGGATTACAAACTGTCTGACTGCATCAAGAGGTGGACTGGCCTCTCTGATTTTGAACAAGTAATCCCCATATCAGAAGAACTGATAGCTCTTGTGTTTGAGTTTGAAGTGACAGTCCTGAATACAAGCAGTGGGGAATTCATTTCCTCAATCCAAGTTTCACACAGAAGAGTTATTACGTGCAGCAGTAAATTTGAGCTGTTAACGGAGGTTTGTGGCTCACTTCAATTGTTCGATGGCACAACAGCTGTGTGGCAGAAGGACTGGAGTACTGATCGCGGCGTTTTCTCTCCTAAGGGCGAGTTGCTTGTCGTTCTGACGTCTCAAGGGCCGCTTGTTTTGGACTCCGTTTCAGGGAAAGGACTATGTATTTTGCCTACTTCTGCTATGGACATTCTTTGTCAGTTTGTTAGTGACGAGGAGTGTGTTTCTGTGAATCATGGTATTGAAAGTTCTACTGTTCAACTGTTTAATGTCAGGTCTGGTGACCCTCTGAGTTCAATGGAGGTGGAAAGCAGAATAACCTGTTTAGCAGCCTCTTCCAAAAATGGACTTTTCGCAATCGGCCTGCTAGACTGCAAACCAAATTTCAAAGTTATCAAAGTGCATTTGCCTCGAAGGACAGTTGGAGGAACCACAGGTGAGCTGTTGGTAAATGTGACTATCTTTAAGGCTTTTTTTCTTGTGCTTTAACCCAAAGGTGTCAGTTGTTACTCCTTGTCGTCTTTGTTTTTGTTATTATTCGAGCTTGCTTTAGCAGCCAGACTCTAAAAATTCCAGCGTTCCTTTTTTTTCTCGTGTGTGCGCACGTAAGGGAGTCATGATCCCAGGCGTTCCTAGCGTGAACCGTGGAAACTCGGGATAAGCATCGCGAGGTGACTGATAGCCTGCTGCAACGCAGGCTACTTGACTGACATCAGAAAACGTTTTTCAGAGAGCCATGCATTTTTTGTGAAGAAAGCCGTGGAAAGATTAATGCGAAAGATGTCGAGCTTTTCCGGAACGGGTGGGTCCACGAGTTCTATCACTTGAAAGCGTTGATTGCTTTGGAACAAGTGAATACTTCAATCGTCGAAAGAAGCAGGATCTTTGTGAGCAAAACTTTGATGGGGAGGTAAACCGGTGTAGTGTTGTAAACTTTCATTGTATGAGTCTTGTGACGAGCACGCCGGCGGTTTATTTTCGACGATGATTGAAATGACACACCATGTTTATCACATTTCTGGTCTTTTTCTCTTGAATCGAGCCCCTTGCATTGATTGTCATGTATTTATACACGCGTACTCAATCATTTCAGAAAGAAATCGTCGAATACGATATAAATAGTGAATATCCTGAAGAAGACTCGACCGTCGATAAGGTAGGACGTGAAAATCTTTTAGCGAGGAAACCCGGTGTCCCTAATCTCCAAGCAAGCTCGACTCAACGCTTATGAGAGCGTTCTTGTTTAAACTTCGATTATTGTTAGTGTTGCAGACTGGAAAGCTAATGATTGCTAAATTGCCCTTTGCGTAATCTTGGTAAATGCAAATGTAGCTTTGATAGCAAACCCTGATAGTAAGCGGGTTCATACATACTTCACCCAGTCTTACTGGTCCTCATCAGTTCCTAAACAGCCATTGGTCAAGCTTGTTTTTTATCCATTGAAGAGCTACTTAAAACGACTTTCATTTCATGTCTTTTAGGACGATTGGTATACCGTGGAATAGACAGCTGCGCGTAAAGAACTGGATGTAAACAAAAGGTCAGCAAGCGTTTTCTTTTCTGTCTGTTAGAAAATATCCCGCAAAACCAGCTATTTCTGTCCCGGGCGTGAACGAAATCGTAGAATTCCCCTGTGTTTTTCGAGCGAATGTATGTATATTATTCCTTTTCGTGTATGTTTCAATTTTTTTTTCATATGTCCCAATATTCCTTTATTTAAATATGCTACAGGTCAGAGAACGTTGGCAGTTATTGGAGAAGCATTAGAAAAAACGCCTGTGGACAGGCTAGATTTGAATTTTTTTGTAGGGACATTTTGAGTCTTAAATTAAGAGATCCTAAAACACACTTTTTACCGCAGTCAACACAATATTTATTATTTAGATTTTTAACAGCGAAGAGAGAGTGATCCTAGATGAAGGTGGAACGAAGTGCGAAGGCCAGGCGAAGCAAATTCATCCTGCTCTAGTGGCCTGCCCGCCCAGTTGAATGTCGATGAACTTGAGAACGTATCTACACAGAAAATAGCTGATGCGATTTACAGCTCTCTGCAGGAGCCCTTGGAAGAGTACCGGCGGCCTCCGAGGACCACGCCCCTGAGTTTGGTGCGGTATCAGAACAAGAGTTTTACAAGAAACTTTCCCGCCTAAACCCAGCGAAAGCTAGTTGGCCCATTCCGAACTCGATACTGAAAGACCGTTCGGAATTCCTTGCCAACTCGGTAACTACAATCCTAAATGCCTCATTTAAGGAGCAGCTCTTACCGAACTCGTGGAAACTTGCTGACGCGTCGCCTCTTCCTAAGACGAAATCTGTCAAGGAAATTAAAAACGATCTCAGACCGATATCGCTCACACCATGTACCTATGAGATTGACGAGGACTTCGTCGTCACCCAGTAAGCGAAACCAGCTGACTGGTCACGCAAGAATAAGTTTAAAAAGTTGGAACTATAACAAATCAGTGGCACCCAACGACGGTTTCCTCCTAAATGCATTAAAAACACTTTATAGGCTATCCAGAGGAATTTTGGATCTCTAGAAATACATTCTAAGCGGCGCTATAAAATATGTGTCTGTTTGGTCATCCTAGGGAAACTTGAGTCTTTTCGAAATTATAAGGGCTTCAGTATTATTTTCCCGAAAATTTTAGAAGCAATTCGACGTATTACGAACGTGATGATTTTTCTGATTCCTCCATCACGTTTTTGATTCCGAAAATTTTAGGTTTCCTGTTGTGAAAGAAAAACAGCCTAACCTGGGCAGTGAAATGTGAAATTTAAACTTCAGAAAATCATACGAGTTTATTACATAAGCATCGAAAATTGTACATGAATGGAACGATCATTTATAAATTTTTAGCTGTCCTTAAGCTATAGAAAATTATACATCTTGCTATACGGGTTAGTGAGTAGTATCGTGGGACATTTTTACGAGTCACGCTGTATTTTGGCGAGCCCGTGAGACGAGTCAAAATACAAGAGACGAGAAAAATATTCCTCGATACTACACACTAAACCGTTCAATAAGAGATTTATTATTCAACTCGAGGAATATAAAATAGAACTCAGTATAAATGTGTACTCTTGCCTACTTATGACGAGATGGCGTGACAGACGAACGTGAGTCGAGTTTTCGCGCGCTTTCATCAACGCTGTTGCTGATTGGTCAGAAATGAAAACTTGTTAAACTAGTTTACTCAGGGTGCTTTCTATAATGCCAAAATTTCCGGAAATTTCGGTCCAAACGTAAATGGAATGGTTCGGACAAGGCGGAAATTTTCCGGTCAAAGTGGTCCACCTCCAGAGGTGGTCCTCTTTGACCGGACGGTCCGGCCCGACCGAAAATTGACGTTCATTTTCAGAAATTTTCGTTTGCAGTCCCGCTCCTGCTCGTCACCCCAGTAAAAATGGCGGATGGTTTAGATGTAAGTGTTTACGAGTACGGTGCGTGTAAGCTTCACACGCAAGACGTAAACTTTCTCCTTATGCGCAGTTGCACACAAGGCTCAGGCACAGCAGTGCATCTTACTTTGTTTTTTCTTCTGGTTTTCATCAGCTTTTAAAGACAAATATTGCTGGTTCCTCCGAATGCTGACGATGTTTTCTCGCGTTTTTCTCTTAGCAGTATGTGACCCTAGCCCTTACGGCTTTGACAGTCAGTGCGAAAAAAATCCATAGCTCATTCCAACAACCTCCACTAGTTCGACCAAAGCCCTCGAAAGATGGGAGGATAAACACGTCCGTTTACTTATTGCAAGCTACATGAAGATCAAAGACGAATTTGGGAAGTCACACATTACCCAACAATCAATTGGGTCGGACTTTTGGTTCGGACGCTCACTTCTGCGTCTCCTTCAAAAATGCCCAGACTACCGTTTAGGATTTTATCAGATAACTATTTACAATGTAATAAATGTTAAGGTAAAGGAAAACGGGGTGACTTGTAGCCTGGTGAGAGCAGCAAACACGATCAGACTACAGTTTGGACCGGCAAGCCTGAGAGCAAGCTCACCCGGTGGGGGAGGCAATAAAGGAGGTCCCCTTCCCGTCTTTGCTCCCCCGCCGTCGTATTATGACCCCTGGGAGAGCTTGCTCGCAGGCTATGGACCGGTAGAAGAAATCTTAATGGGACAACCTCGTTCCCAGGTTCTCTACCTACCCGTCTCTCTCTTACTCCGTCGGGTGGGGGAGGGGGTTAGTAGGTGGGTAGGAGAGAACCCTGGGAACGAGGTTGCTCAATGGACCTTAAGCAACGACCACGACAACGTCAAAAAACAATTTAGTCCGGCAGCTTAGCTAGAAATTTTTAGTGAATTGTGCACTTTTAGATACAAGCATGAATTTTGGCACACCGATAGTAGTCACCAATACAAGCATTTTCAGGTATAGTGCCAAGCCGGTAGTAGGTCCCCATAGAAACCACAATGTATTAAATTTCATAAAAATTAGTGAATTAGATTCATTAAATTGTTGTCCTAGTTTATCAAGACATAGAATCATTTCACTCAGTCATCCAACCTGTTTTCCACGTACATCTTGTTTATAACACGCCGTTTGACCTTAACTATGCGTTGCCATGGCAACGGTAAGCAAAGGAAAACTAAAACCACGACGACTGAATAAATTAATGTGCCTTCAGTTTGTTTGATAATTATATGTGATACAACTAATATCTTTAAACATAGCTTTGCTACCTAATAGATTTCACATTTTCGTTACGGAATAAACTTACGGTTCTCTAGTCATTTGCCACTGTGCTTCCCGCACTGCCTATAACAATACAACACAATACAATAAGAGTTTATTGTGAAAATACACTTAGCTACAATAATGGTGTGCTATCACAGACGGAACCGAAATCGGGGTCTGTGAAAGCACGCCAGCTAATTTACAGGTATTCCACAAACACAATAAAATTAAGAGTTAAAAAACTAGATATGGAATATTCTATAATTAAAATTATAACAATCAAATCTTAATAAGTATATCTTATATCTAAATAAATACTAAATTCAATAAAAAAGCGTCGAAATTATAAAAATTGCACTAGGTCAACTTGGCTAATGGATCTGGAAATATAATTCCAGCTCGAATATTCTCCAGCTACTTTCACTCGTTGTTGGCGATCAGAGAAATAATCCTCAATGATATTAGCAGTTCTCTCGTCAGCACCATATTCTTTGAACTTCTTCACAATGAGATCGTGTGGTAGAGAGTCGAAGGCCTTCGACAAGTCCATAGACACAAGGCCGATCGTCCAGATGGCCGCCGTGTTTCTGCAGAGACATGATTAAAATGACGTTGATCGAAAGGAAACGTTGTTGAAATTTTCCTTAACAGTATTTTTTCTAGCTCAGATGAGTCTCAAATTGTTGAAAATGTGCCTTACGTAAGCGGTATGGGTGTTGCTGAGTTAAACTTCCTCTCTAAGGCCTTCGATAGTGGATGTTGTGCTGAACCATTTTCATGACTTTTGAGCTTCATCTTTATCACATTATGTACTAATTGCTGTATCTCGATGTAAATTCCATAATATCGAATTTTTCAATGCTTTCTTCCACCTTCCACGTAAATGCCGTTTTGAAACTCACCCCAATCCTCCCTCAAAATTCGCAAGAAATGCAGGTTGGTGCGCACTATCTGCAGCTCTACCGGTGACCCTTATTTTTCTTCATTATTTTAATAATAACAGTTCTTCCTTTTAATGGCAATTCTATGACCAGCGGAGAAGGAAGCAGCATCACACACTGTTAAGGCATGGAACACAAGGAGAAATGTCGAGTTAGATGGACCAAAGGCTTTTGGAAAGAGTGTGGGTAGGATATTCCCTGTCCCATAAGACACTCAAAATTCCTTCAAGTATAAATAAGCCTGTGTCAGGCTCCAAGATAGTGGGGAAAACGGAACGAAAAAAAGCGCTTAATTTCGAATCATGGTTGACTAGTGAACCAGTTTTCTACTGCATCAGCTACATGGACTATCATTTTAATGTTGCCTCTTCTCCGTGCAAACAGACTCATTCTTGACCGTGTACGTTTGATGCAGTGGATTAGTTACAGGAATTTTTCTTATCACCATGCAATCCAGTTTGGTCCTGTTGAACGCATCGCGACGAGATTTTTGCCACGTAAAAAACGACTTGATAATATGGAAGCTGAATTCCATCTGCCCTGCAGTCAACTGCTAAATTTAATTTTCCGGTCTCACAAAATGAAGTTAAGTCTTATTCAAAAAAAAGGTATCCAGCACATACCGATCGAGAAAGATACATTCAACCAAATCACTTGGCTTGAGAGGAATAAGAGTTCTTGAAACTACGTCACGGCGAGAGGAGACTAATGAAATAATCAAAACAACACTGCTTTTGGTCGGAATCAAAAATTTTTTTGGTCAGAATGAAAAAATTTTTTACCGGGAAACGTTATTGCCTTATGTGTAGATTCGGATGAGAAAATAAAAAATTCGTTAAGAAAAAAATTCGTCAAGAAAAATAACTTCGCGGGGGGTCTCGGGTGTGAAATTTGATTCGCTGCTAACTAGAAAACTCCCTACCATTTGATATACTTGAAGCCTGAAAAAGGTACCCCTTTCGGGCGGAGCCTCCCCCTATAGGCCATTTTGCCTGTAGTAACAAATAAAAAATCTTTTCAATAGCATTAAAGATTAATCTAGCTTTGAGCATGAATTTGTGGGGGAGTCACAGAAAAGAAGGGCTAACGTGGCTGGCTTTCATAACTGGATTCAATTCCACCTGCAAGAGAAAAAAAGGCTTACTTGACTATAAAGGCTTCTATTCAAGTCGGAGAGTAAGTATTTAAATGTCACTACAAAACTTTACCATGTTCATGTCATGATAGCTAATCTCTCATTGTAGTATATTCAAGGATAAGGACATAAAAAATTTGTCCGAGAAATGTCCAGAAAACTTTAATTCTTGGCCAAATGTTAATTTTTCATACTCTTTCCAGACAATTTCTCATCTGTTGGGCTACGTGGTCATTTTGGTGAATAGCTAATACCACATTTTATTTCATGCCTAAAATTAATTTTTGTAGCATTTTAGGTAAAATGACATGAAATTAATTCCAGATTGATGCTGTGATGAAATTTGTCTGTCAGGGGCACCCAACGACGTTGGGCTAAAATGGTTTTTGGTGAATAGCCTCCTAAACTTAAAATTAGGTAAGACATGAAATTAGCTTTGAAAAACACTCCTAAATACGTTGAAAACACTTGTAGGCTTTCCAGAGTCAGACTTAAAGATTCCCAGAGATGCAGTCTTAGCGGCGCTATAGCTTTTGTATCTTTTCTGTCGTCCTGGGGGAACTTGAGTCTTTTCGAAATTGCAAAGGCTTCAGTATTATTTTCCCGAAAATTTTAGATGTAATTTAACATATTACGAAAGTGAGAAGTTTTCTGATTCCTCTCTCCACACTTTTGAATCCAAAATTTTAGGCGCGATTCGTTTTTTGTCCGAAAAATATCCTAATCTGGGCAGTGAAATGTGAAAAATTAAAGGTTCAGAAAATCGTAGGGAATTTATTAGATAAGCTTCGAAATTGTACCTGAATGGAATGGCCATCTAGAAATTATTAGCCGTCCTCAAGTAATAGAAATTAAAAATTATTCTTGGCAATATTCGCTTCTCCGAACAGATTTACATAAAACAGTCGTTGGGTACCCCTGATCTGTTAGTGTTTTTTGTAATAATATTAAAACAGTAATAATACAACTAAATTGTCTTGTTTTTTCCTGACAGGAAAAGCACATAACAAGAGAAGATTGGAGCATGAATAAGCCGCTTACTGTGCGGTTCAATTGGAAAGGTGATTTAAAACGGATTGGCGGTTGTCTCCTTCGCAGCCGTTATTAGGGTCGTCAATCGTCACGCAACGCTCCTCCCCACTAAGGACTGCGAAGGAGAATAGATTGGCGGCAGCTTCATTGGCACTAGCCCTGAATTTGAAATGGCACTGTGTACAGTTTGTTTCCTGGCTTGGGAAGCAGATGGGCGTATCGACCGTATTAAGCTTGATGACTACGATGTTATTGTCAAAGCTCATCGCTTTGGAGCAAACTTACTGAGTACCTGCTATCAGATTAATAAGTGAAACAAGTCAGCAAATGAACGAACTCCTCCTCCTAGCGGGAGCGGCGAACACGATCAGGCTACATTGGACTGGCTAGCCTGTGAGCAAGTCGCTCTGGCGCTGGCGCGAAAAGCGAGGCTCCCTTGCTGTCTTTCTTCCCCCACCCCTCCTCCCCCCCGTACTCCAGGGAGAGCTTGCTCGCACGCTGTAGACCGTCAGAAATGTCAATAGGATACCTTGATGTTCTTAGCAGACCTGTTCCGGTTCTTGTAAAGTTCTGACTCGAAAACTATATAACAGGAAAATTAAGGTATATTAAACCAAGGCGAATTAAATTAAAGAAACGCAAAGGAGGGGATAAAATTTCAAAATAAAAAAACTTAACGCGACGTTCGTGAGTTAGAAACAAATGTGGTTGAGGCAGTAGGAACAACTGTATCTTAATGCTGAGAGCAAGAATCGAAATGCAAGAAATGTCGCCACTTCGCCTGAGCAATAGCGTTCTAAAGTGATGACGTCATAAGAAATTATGGGATTTGTTGAGATGTTTTGAAAGAAGAACATCTGAAAGGCCTACTTGCCAAAAACGAGCATTGCGGGGCAAATTGTCTCGGAGATACTTCGGAGTCCCGTTTTGTTTCGGTGACTCCATACAAATCCGTCTAAATTTGACTCGCTTCCTAGTGTTATGAACTGAGTCAAATTTAGAAGAATTTGTTTGGAGTAATCAGAGCATAACTGGGCTAATATCAGAGACACAATTTGCCCTGGTATGCTAATTGTTGGCAAGTAGGCCTTTTGGATGTTGTTCCATAATAGCCCGAAAAATCCCATAATTTCTCAAATTTTATTTTCTTATGATGTCACACTTTAGGACTCTATCTGCGCGTGACGTCACGGCGGCTATGTTAGTGGTCAGGAACGAAAACATTTCTCTCCTCTGGGAACTGTCCATTTTCATGTAAGTTCATGTAAATTCTTCGAGAAAAAATTCTATTGTATTGACCCCCAACATGGCCGCCTTTTCACGTGGTGCAAACCAACAACTGGTGCGGTCACACGGTACAATCACGCGGGACACTTTTACCGAGGGAAATGCCTTCTACCGTGGTCCGTGTCACTGCTCCTCCACGCTGATCCACGCTGATGAAATAACGCTTATTCCAAGGTGCCAGGAAAGTCTAAAAAAGGATATGGAAAATTTGAATTTTGTTAAATACTTAAGAATAAAAATTTTTGAAAAGAGTTTAACGCAGCGGCTACGGCCTAAAAACCATAGGCGACCATAGCACTAACTTCTCCGTACTCAAGAAGAGCAATGGAAAATTACTTTGTCTGATTTAGACACATGCACAATCGGATTCCATTCTGGCAAAACTGCTTGTTGAACCTATTTTCATTTCTTGGACAAGTGCAAACATATTATTTTTGTTCTCAAGTTTATTTCGTCACTTCACACCGTATATACATACTACTTCAGATTACAGTTTTTTGATCTTGTCACTTTGATAATTATGCCATGGCGACATCAAGACATTATCTTTTTCGCTAATTTTTGAGCGCGGATTTTGAAATTCGCATCATGCATTTAATATCCTATAATAGAGCCTTCCTTAGAATTGTTTTCACAGGTGCTTTTTTTTTTAGTACCTGCTACTATTTTATTAGGTTACCGGCACTGGTGTTTATATACTGCGGCTTGTGGAATGGAATGTAGCGTCCTTTTAGCTTTATTATCCGTCATATTGTGGCCAGGATCTTTGTTAGTCAGTAAGTATAAAAAAGAACTTTACTAAAGTTCAATACAGCCCTGCTGTGCTGCTAATGTCAGGGTTCGTTACAAAGATACTAGAAAACACTATGAGGAATTTTAAAACATCTTGATCAGTTTATGAATTACAAGACGCGTAAAGGTTAGCCAAGTTAATGAATCTAACAATCTTTGTTTCTTTGAAACCGTTTTTCTCAATTCTTTTTGCATTCGTTTACTTTATACAAGTTTACAAGACGAATTGGTAATTTCTCGTGACTTTGAAAGTAGACAGGAGAAAGCATTGGAGCGTTTTTGTTCATAACAAACCAATGATTAATAGACGTGATTAAAATAGCGCATTGAGTAGGGGGTCTATTAAATGGCTAGGCTCCCCCGCAGGCGTTTTTAGGGGAGATCGTATTTCTTCCCGGGGGAGGCTATTAAATGGCCAACTTTCGCTTTTTAGGGCCATTTTGGTACTTTTATCATTTACGTAAATCAGACACCAATTTTATACTAAAAACTAGTAATAACCGAAGGTTAGGGAGTGAGGGCGACAACGATCGGAAATTCAAACGCTTTTGCTCCAACGCTGTGCTTTGCGAAAGTTTTACGTGACAGATAGTCAAAACACGCGTGTTCAGATTACAAGGGGAAGACTCCTAACGCACGTGATCAAACTGCGTTCCGTGTATTCCATTCATCTTAGTGGGAAGTCCAAACGAATGCTGGCTACATACTTGCGACGCATGCTTAATAACAACCTGGAGATTAGGATTGCGGGGTCCTCTTGACGCCCGGTATTAGATCATATTAGTAACTACAGTCAGGAGCCCATCAACTTTAACGTTTTCATTCCTCAGAGATTTTCTTTCTTTTCTTTCTAGTGGGTAGATTATACTGTGGAGAGTTTTACACTCTGACTATGTTAATCTTCATTTTGGTTGCTTGCCTCACAGTTAGAGGCCATGAAGCTGGTCTGTTACATGCATAATGATTAACTACTACCTGCAGTCTGTAGTTCTGACAGGATTCGTTTTCTTTAGCCAATATTTTTGAGCGTTAAGGTTCTTATTTCGGCTAAATGACTCAATATTAATCAAATTTCTAGTTTTTCAAGGCTTTTTCTTTCCGAGATGCGTTTATCTGAATAAATACTTGTAGTCCTTGTGGTTGTTTTGTCCTTCAGCTAGTGTGATGATTCCCTTCTATGTTTTGTAACGCCGGGCCCAGCCATTGTTTTCTCGCAAAAAAGTGATCCACAGATGCGAATTCGGAGGAAAGAATTAAGCCTAAACTTCTGCATTAACTGCTGAGAATTGTCCTGTTAGTCAGTCATAATTCTTTTGGCGCAAATACAATCCATTTTGTTTTTCTTGAGATAAGTGGGTCTTTGGACTGGAGCGCGATGTCACAAATTTCTCCGTTAGCAAATTATTCACGGTCGAGCAACTGTTGTCTTCTGTTCAACTTTTCAAGTGCCAGTTTTATCAGGCGACTCTCATGGTGATATAAGTCAGTTGCAAAGGAAGACTGCAATTTCTCAAATTTCGGAACTGAAGCATTCCTCGTTAGTTGCTACTTAGGTCATCGCTTTTGCATGCGGTGCTTAACTGGCGAAATCCACTCCACGGTGATGACAAAAATCAAATGATCCTGGCACTTTTTCGGCGCTGATCATCGAAAAGTTCCAAATCGTCTACAGAACGCTTAATCATCGACTCTCTTCAAGGTGCATGCTTAAATGTGGGATATAAAGCGGCAAAAAAAAAAACAAAAACAAAAACACTCGCAAAGATAACCTTTCCGTGACCCTCAGTTCGCTGCCTTTATCCCATCGCTTCATGCTCAGTCTCAGTCGGGTAGTTCATTAACTTTTATTTCATGATACCCAGATCCCAGCAGCTGTAAAATTGTAAAAATGGACGTATAGTAAAAAAGGAAAACGGTCGAAGGACGGGCTAATGAGTTCGACTTCATCCAACTTCATTTTTTTCACGGTGACATACGAGACTCACAGAAATATGACACTTTTCGCGGGAAACAAGCCGTTCTATTTATAAATCTACTCGGGAAAGGGTTGACTCAATAAATTAATGGAGATGGAGGCTCCATTTGATGGGCTCCTGCTAGAGTCGAACCTCTAAACCTCCATGTGCGAACACCTCTCGTAAGCGACCCACAACCATTCAAAATACCTTTTTTTCCAGTCAAATCCAGAGTCTGAGTCAAATCCTAGCCTGCGAAAACAGCCGTTTCCCTTCGGTCCGACTGTTTTCGCAGGCTACCAGGAGGGAGAGGCCATCTCTATTGTTTTCATGTGTTTTTCCGTGACCGATTCATCACCGCCAGTGTAACGTCACATAATATCGGGCGAGAGCCTCGGGTTGCACGTGCAAATTTGCAAGGGACACCATAAAAAAGCTCTGCGGTCGCAGCTACGACGTAACTAAAGTTTAACTTAAGTTAGTGTCAAGTTACGTGATGTCATACCTAACTGTAGTTGGTGCTTTCGGTCGGCATTGCGGTCACACCAAGCAGTTAACAACAGTTACCATTAGTTCTAATCAGCCTAGGAAAATTTTTTGTTTGTTGTTTTTGGTTTCCTCATCGCTTCACGCTTCGTTTCTATTTTGCATATTTTTATATGCTCATCTCGCCAGAGCGAAAAGAATGTCACATTCTGATTGGTTGTTTGTTTGTAAACTAACCCACGAATCCTGCTTGGGTATAACTATAGTTAGTCTGTATTGTTTTGGATCGCCGAGCCGTAAATTTTCTAACTATAGCCGTACAGCGAACAGATAAGCGGTCACATTACCGAAATAGCTAACTATAGTTATCCCCGTCTTAACTATGGTAGCCCAGATGTGACCGCAGCCATTGCTATGCATCGCTTATTTGATCATACTTATGTAAACCGCCTTTGTTTTTTGTGTCCGTAATTGTGTGATTTTGTTAATTTGTGCCGCTGGCCGTGTTGCGGGATCGACATCTTCTTTACGAGACCAGCAAGGTCATAAAAATTAGTCCCCTTTTTTCCTTAAAATACGCAGCATCTCGTCTCCAGAATAGGAGGTTCGATTCAGAGGTCACACACTTTTATATCCCACGTATTCTTTCGCTGATTAAATCGACCGTACTTCATATCAATCCCTTTTCGAATGAGGGTCTCCGTTTATTTCTTAATTCTCCACCAAATTCAGTACATCTAGTTTGTTCGATTTTCTGCATCGATCGGCCCTTTGAACTCAAAATAATTCGAAATAGCCTTGAAATGTGTGCATAAGCTAATTGCAGTGAAACTTGAAAATGGTTTTCATGTAACAAATTTACCTCACTAAAAACTGAGTGGCACCCAGTGGTGCAGTGGTCAAGGAGTTGCTTGCATGTGCAGATGAACTTGGTTGGACTGCCGGCATAGTTGTTTTTGTTTTTCTTTGTACATATTCTTTTTCTGTTTTATTTTTCTCCTTCCCTCGCCTCCCAATTCGTGCTCGTCTCCCCGCTTAGGGCGAAATACAGCGTTTGCCTCGCTTTGCTCATAAAGCGCAAGACAAGCCTCATTCATCATCATCTTTTAGCTTCTTTATGTGTTAAGGATTAATCTGTATATAGAAAATCACACTCCAGCCTAGGAATTTTTTTCTTGAAAATATATATGTAGTTAAATAAGGATTTTACAGTACATATTGTGTCTGGTAAATGAGAAGTTTATTTCCTGAGTACATGCAAATTCTCCAGGCTATGCACAGATTGGTCTCCCGAAGGAGTTTATTTCTAATTTTCCACCGATCGAGCATCCTCGTCTCAGTCATGACATGGGAACTTATGGCTTAAAGTAAACAAACTGTCTCTAAATCTGAAAAAATACTAAATTTATGGTCTTCAAACCAACTTCAAAAACGTACGGATTGTGATATTCAAATAAATTTTGATAATCAATATATCGAACAAATTTGGATTTGTTTTCTATGAAAACCGAAATTAGAAGTCGGAGATATCGCATGTCGCAAACCGTTTTGCGAAGTCAATCGGTATAATATTTAAATGCAGCTTCTACCGTCCTGGAACTTCCCTACGTTTTTGTTCTATTCCTTAATGTATTCTTATTTTTACTACCGTATTATAAGTTGGGCCTCAACCCCGGGGCCTCAACCTATCAAACTAACTTCCGCCGTCTCTTTATTCTGCAAAAGCGCCTATTAAAATCACTAAATAAATCACATTTCAAAGCGCATCTGTGAAGGAACGTGGTGAACAAGACTCCATTTGCTTCAACAGGGCCAATTTATTTTTTCTATTGCAAAAATTCATTGTTGCCCCTCCAAGGTTTAAAAACAATTCACCTAAAGCAACAATTTCACTCTTACAATACTAGAAATTCAAGTCCTACTGTCTACCCTATTGTCAAGAAAACAGTAAGAACTTCTCAGACAGTTTTTTCAATGATACAAGACAGTTTTAATTCACTTGACAACGAAGTCATCAACTCTCTATAATGATCATTAATAAAAACAATAATGCAAACTAAGATTAAGGGAGCAAAATTTACCAAACAGCATGAATAAAAGATTCTAAAAAGCGTTTTAAAAGGCAATGCCTTTTAAAAAAGGGAAACTTCTCTGATCTCTGGAGACGAGATGTCTTGAACTAAAAGGCCGAATAACTACCCAAAGTGACAATTTATCCTTCGCTTTCCCAACCCAAGGGAATTAATTTTTGCCCAACAATTTTTGTGCGTAAATCTTTATCCATATATATATTTTTCTAATTATACTGATAAAATATCAAGATAATTTTTTTTTACTGAAAAAGTTGTTCGCACAAATTTATTTATACAGTACTGTAAGAAACTCTGTATATACCGCCCAACAATTAGATAGCTAATGAAAAGAAACCTTCAAAGTTTTTTTGTTTTGTAGCCTTTACTTTCAGTATTCTGTTTTGCTTTATTTCAACTTTAACTTCAACTTTATTTAAATTTGGAAATATAACATCTGACATCTGTAGAACATCTGACAGTTAATTTAGACGCACTCAGAAGGTCATAAAAAATGAGGTATTTTTATTTCACTACGAGATGTCTTGAACTAAAAGGCCGAATAACTGTACCCAAAGTGACAATTTATCCTTCGCTTTCCCAACAATTAGATAGCTAATCTGAAAGTTTCTTTTAATAACTGTAAAACGGTCTTGTAGCCTTACTGTGGAAAAGAACAGTATTCAGTTTTGCTTTATTTCAACTTTATTTAAATTTGGAAATATAACATCTGACATTTGTAGAACATCTGACAGTTAATTTAGACGCACTCATAAGATCATAAAAAATGAGGTATTTTTATTTCACCTGAAAGTGCGTCCATAAGTGTTTTAATTAGTTTCTTGATAAATACATCGTCTTTTAGTTTACTCAAGTTATCGTTTAACAGTCCATTTTTGTGGATTAGTCTTCTGACAGCCTATTAACTATCATCTTACGTGAGTTGCAAGTGTTTAGACAAAAATTTTTTATGGATTTGATGATTTAATTTTTAAAATGTTTTCTCCGTTGTATATCGGTTTTCTTCTCGGAATATCAACCGAAGAGGAAGTAGATTCTTTGTCGGCCCTCCTGAACGGCTACACGCTCGCCCTTGTCAAAGTTACCAGTCGAGTTACAATACATCGTCCATACATAGTATAGGCAACTGGTGATTCTGCCAGGGTTTTTTCCTCGGCTGAAATTGTTCAGACAGTAATGGACGCATATACATTTGACATTAACTGACATGACCTTGTCATCTTTGGTGTCACCGCCAATAAACAATCTCGTTTTACAACCACAAAAATACATAGAACTGCCAAGCACACGCGTACTAAAAACAATGGCAAACCAGCGTCACAACGGACTAAGAGAAGACAACACTTCCAGCTGCAGTTATACTATTTCGTTCGTGATTGGTTTACTGTGTATTTTAATTGGTGTGGTGTTGGTTGTTGTAGGATCCGTGAGGTTACAGTCTGCGAAAAAACCATGCGGCCAAGAAGATCCTACCGCTGCGCGTAGAACTTCGCCGTCGACACAGAAAGGAACTTGCAAATACTCCGCTGAAGCCGTGCGCGTTGGTTTGCCTGGGTTACTGGAAGAAGTGAAAAAGGCATACTTCGAATACAATCCTAATAATGTTGCATGGCACCCTGATAAACGCAGAGGAGGAATTGTCGAAGTCGTCGAATATGTGAAAACAAGGTGTGTGGATATCGATGATGTAGAAAATGTAACTCATTACCTACTGATTATGGCAAATCACACTGATATTTTATAGGTCGGTTGAACCCCGCGTTAATCCCCAAATTCATGTTGCCATTACTAAATGTAGCATTGCTCCTTTTAAATTTTAATTTGTGTGCTATTACAGGGAGCGAAACAATGTTCCGTTTTATGATCTGTGAGGTGACAGCTCATTGACTTGCGTCTTTAGGCTCTCCACATCCAATTATAATTTGACACTTTGCCGAGTTTATAACAAGTAAACCCTACACTGTGTATAAGTGCAAAACTTTATCTTTCGCAAAGATGGTTTTAGAATATTTCATATTAATGGCTTTAAAGATAAAAACTGTGACTTTAATATCTTATTGCTAAGGCAAAGAATTATTTTCTCGCGGACGAAAGGTGAGACATGATGAGCGCGCTGTTGGCAGCTTACGTGATCGATGTCATAGCCGTTTCCTTGTGAAGAGAAAGAAAGCAGATCAAACTGATACGGAAAATCGGATTTCACTATCGTATTAGCATCAAGAAAAGTGATGCGGTTTGTAGGAAAAAATTCTGTTGCAACAGATAAAAAGATTGGAACGCAAGCGACGAGAAACGGGTCGCAGTTGTTTGAAGAACTTTTGAGCCACCCTTCTTTCATTCACCTTGTAGAGCTTATCGTCACTCCCGGCTCACTGCAATTGAACCCTTGCGACGAAAACATTACAGTTTAACCTATCCACAATGGCCACCTTGGGGACAGAAGAAAGTGGCCATTGTAGAGAGGTTCAAACAAGAGCCAATGTATGGACTGTCCGCCAACAAAAGCGGCGTTGGTGAAAGTTCCACTGTATTGTTAACACCTTTGGGAGATCGTGATAGCGAGAAGAACTTTTTATTAAGGACCTCAGGGCGGCTACTTACGGACTGTACGTTATTTATTGCTAAGGGGGGAGGGGGGCACGAGTTTTTAAAAACTTTACCCCCCTTCTAAACACCGCCCTCTCTTCGAATTCCCCTTAGCCATAAATAATGTCAACAGAGAATGGGCTAAGAGATTAGCTTGCGAATACAGCCGTTTTTCCTAGCTCCTCGCCGCCAGGGACGTTTCGCCAGGCGAAAGGTCCTTTGCGGCGAGGAGCAAACGGCTTTATTCGCAGGTACTAAGAGATCGAATCCCCCATACATTTTCTCTCTTGATAATGTACTGTCCCTTCAACGGAGTTTGAAGTATATCGTTTCAGGGACCGCGGAACAGTTTTCCAAAGGGAGGCTGAGTAAGCTCTGCTTTCTATTTTTCTATATGGCCGGGAGCAAAGTCTTCATTTGAAAAGCAGGGGTGCTAAAGCCTCTCAGCCCGCCACCCCCGTTTCTTCCCTTTGGATTAGCCTGGGGGAATTCTAGAACCAGAAACACCTGTGAACGCAAAACCACAACGACAAACCAGTGAGGGTAAAATCTTGAGTACCGAATTTTAAACTTAAAACAGTACACTGATCCTTACGGCAGGAAAAGTGATAGAAAAAATAAAGAAAGAAAACAAAAATAACCTGGTGACCACTTTATTTTTGTTTTCTTTCTTTCTTTCCTTCTTTTTTTTTTTCACTTTTCCTGCCGTAGGGATCAGTTTGCTGTTTTAAGTTAAAAATTTGGAATTCTAGTACTAATATCCGAAAAGGATCAGCCAATATACCCCCAAATTCCCAAAATGTTTTTGACGTATAAGAAATTAAAGAATATTTTATTTTCCTTCCTTTCCTCACATTTTATTTTTCTTTTAATTGGCCCGCCTAGATTAGCAATGGCTATTTTGCCGGCCACTCTATTGAAAGTTGATCGTATATCCAAACTCAGTATTGGCAAGAGATCATAATACGACTCAGCTGTAAGATACCTTATACCCAATTTTATAAGAAAAAACATGTATACCCTTAAACCCAAAACCCTGGGCATCTGTGTCCGGGGCTCCCCGACAGTGAGCTACTTATATAAACAAATCGACGTTCAAACCCAAGCAGAAAAGACTAGCACGAAAACGCACTGTATTCGCGGACAACTGACAGGAATAGAGTCTGTGGCAGCAAGCTGGTTATAAGTTTGCGTGTTCGTCTCTTCTTTGTTTGCAGAGCTTAAGGCTACAATTACTAATATCTCTAATGGAAGATCTAACGAGCTTAGGGGTGGTCGGATTTCCCACATGCAAGAATGATCCGTTTCGGAAATAAGAGGTGGATGAAGGGTTGAGAGCACGGGAGAGTTGTAGTGATGCTAAATAAAAAAAAAATCACGCGAGACTTTTGTATGTCCCCGCCCGCCCGCTCGTGACGTGTGTGACATAATGGTAACGAGGATAGTAATCTACTCACAGTGGACGCTCGCTTAATAAAGGCCTTGTCAGATGTAGGCGATTTTTCCTTGAGTTGATTTCTCGGGGACCGCACTCAAGTTAAGAAAGAAAAAGAAAACTTCGTCGTCGCTTGTTTACATCCTCTGGAAAACGTGAAATTAGGTATTTTCATGTCGTAGCCGTGCAGTTACGGCAAAGAAATGCTTGATGCAAGGGCAAAGTTGTTGCTTTGCTTAATAAATATAGTGCTTTTTTGACCTATTTTTTGAAGTCCTCGTTGCCGTCGCCGTCGCCGTCGTCGTTGTTAAAGTAAACAAAATAAAAAAGCTGAGCTATTTAGCCCGTGATGATTTTTTAGAACCTGCTTTCCCACAGGTATGCCCCTTATGATCCAGCGCCAGCAGCTCTCAAGCGCATGACAGACGCTTCTTTTGCTCTTTTGGACAAACTACAAAACCTTCAAGTGAATGCCACAAAGCTGAAACCAAGAGAAGGAAAAGCCTTATCGCAGGTACGGTAAAACAATCATCGATGATTAATCACTTTGCGTGGGCTTCTTAGCCTCCCACGCAGGCGTTTTTAGGGGAGCTCGTTTTGCATCCTGTGGGGAAGGATGAAAAACGAGCTCCCCTAAAAACGCCTGCGTGGGAGGCTATGGGCTTCTGGAGTCGAGAGGAAAATAACAACTCCGCTCTCTATTTTAGTAGACTTTGAAAATCCTTTCACAGCTAGCACCAACTGCAAACACCCCATTAAAAGTTTTGTTACTGGCTAGAAATGGACAGCGTGTGGAGTGGAAAGATCTTCAATTTTTTTTGTCGTTTATAATTTTTTTTGTGCTTTTCCGTTTTTGTACCCTTTTACAGCAAGCACCAAACACCCCCTTCAAAGTTTTGTCATCGGCTGGAAACTTACAACTTGTGCATGGAAAGATCGTCAATATCCATTGTGCACCGCCACGTTATTCACTGATAATTGTCTCAGAAGCAGCAGTTAGCAGGCTTCTTGTCTTATTTTCGCGGGTTCTCTAAAACTGTCAATGAACTGGAAAATGAAAAAAAATGGAAAATGAAGGACTGAACGAACTTAATCGAAACTCTCGCTTTGTTCGATGACCGAACACGAATCGAACAGTTGATTTTCATAGGTACAACGGTGAGCGATCAATGATAACAATGATCAAATAATTTCGTTGAAATGAAATAAAAACTTTATAAACTTTCTCTCCGAACTTGTACTCAAGTCCAAGGTCGAGCGTGCAAACAACCGCTTGAAATAGTAGAGCGTTCTCTTATCTCAGTTTATAGTGGTGTGTGCAGCTGAGAGGATAAGATAAACCCGGGGGATTTCACTTATGATAGCATATTAGAAGTTATCTGTATTTATTGGCAAGTATGTCGCTTATCACTGGCACACCAACTGTTGATGTTGGAACGAAGACTGCAAATTGTTTTCTATAGAAACAACACCACAGATCGAAGATTCTGTGCCGTATTGGAAACTTAAAGGGGCTAAGCCACGCTATAATTTGCTGTCTTTTTAAAAAGCTAAGACTTTGCTCGCATAAATTGAATTCTAAGAGAATAATGGTATACTTTTCTTATTTACGACTATAGTTAGGTATTGAAACTGTTTCCTGCCGTCAGTTGCAACCGATGAAAAGGATGGACATAGATTTAAACTTGAAAAGAATAGGCTAACGTTTTCGAGTTTTAATGCTATGCCTACAAAAATCACCCAAAGAAAATATCTTGGTTAGTGCTCCCTGGTGAAATTTGTAATTTGTTATAAATTAACCGCGGCAGTGTTAGCTCAGTCGGTAGAGCGTGTAACTGCAGAGCGGGAGGTCGAGGGTTCGATTCCCGGGGCCGGACCAATACTCAGGGTTTTAAAATAACTGAAAAAAGAAGGTACTACCTTTGTACTGCAAGCTGCTAGACCTTCGCGTGGCTCGGATGACCACGTAAAATGGATGACCGCGGTCCCCTCTCCAGTAAGGGACGTAAAAACAGTGTCCTCAATTAGTACCTTCGTGCTAAATACCTTGACACTCAAATAAAGTGCTTTTTTTATATCTTCTTCATAAATCTACAGGAGCATTTGTGTACGGATAAAGACACTAAGAAATTGCTTCAGCTCAAACTTGACCTACAACCACAATATCTTCGTGACATAGCCACTTAAAGGAAAGGTTTTCACTCTGGTTTGGCCAAGGAGAGAGATATATTGGGGTTTAAAAAAAAAGCGGAGGATGATTTGAATAAACAGGTCACTATCAAAGTTTTAATAGCACAGACTCTTGATACCCTCTTTTAATGCTGATGGAGTCATGGAGACTGCCTCTTTTGTTATCTATTCCTCATAGAGCCTTATGCTTCGTTTTTATCTTTAATTCCAACAGGCAAAGCACTTTCTGCAGCACGTATTTGGCAGGCCTTATGACGTCAACTATTACGCTGGTGACTGGTTGATGGGACCAAACTACTTCTGCTGGCAACCAATATGTTACATGGCTTATGGTATTAATGCATTCGCGTGGCACGTGAAGCCGCACACTTACTCGGATGTGCAACACGTGATTGACAAAATCATGAAACACAAGGAAACTATAGAACGATACAGGTTCGTCGCCTTTCAGATGGCTCACAACATCTTCCAGCTCAGTTTTTTTCTTGCATGACCTTATCAGTTTTTTTATAATAACTTCTAGTGGGGCTAATTTAAAATTATTTTAACTCCAAAAAGGAGTTTTTTTTTTTATCCTATGACCTCCATTTCACACCAAACATCAAAATTACAAGTAACCCCATTTCGGAGTAATTTTAACTCCAAGACTGGGAGTAAAAAGAACTCTTTTTCAGGAGTAAAAATGACCCCAAATTCGGACTTAAATTAGGAGTTAAAATAACCCCAAAAAAGGGGTTATCCTGTACCTAAAATTTTTACTCCATTTTTGGAGTTATAATAACTCCCTAAAAATTACGGTGCATCAGAATTACAATATGATGAAAGCACAAAAGCAGATTTTGTCAGGCCCAAGGATGTCTTTGGGGATCTTACGAAACTACGACGGCAACAGAAACGCCCAGAACGCAATAGGTTTAGGAAGCGAAACAACAACATTGCACTTGTACCACGCTTTTTGTTAATTTCTTTATCGTCCCTGCATAACTACGTAGTGAAATAACCAAATTTTAGGGTTACTTGAAAACGGGAGCGGCAAGGCCATAGAATTTTACTTTCTCTGTTCGAATTTGGATGTGACTCCCTCCCTTTAGCTCGAACCTAATTCCCCCATTTTTTAGGATCAGCAATGTCGAGAGCGTATTATATGAAAAAGAGAAGGATGGTAAATTTTAAAAGATGGTGATAATTCATTGAGATATATTTGCCGAGCTTAAAATTCAACATCTCTCTTTGTTTCATGTTGGTTTGAGTTTGCTATTTGACTGTTAAGCTTTTTTTTATGAATAATAGGTGTAAAATTTGTTTATTTTTTCCCGTCAGAGATAACATTGCCCTTGGTGTCCAAGTTGGTATGGTTCGTTCATCTATTGAATGTAAAGCAGGCCTGGACGCTTTTAAGGAAAAGTACCCAAAAGTTGCCCATGGAGATACCCCCGAGAGTGTCCTGGAGGAGTGGTACACTAAACTTTATTTAAAACCACAATACCTAGCAAGACTTGAACGAGGAGTGAATAAGCGCTGGCAGAAAGAACATGGAGGCCAGAATGTAACAAAATCCATAAAGCAAGCTTTGGTAAATGGTTTGGGCAAGCCTTTACTGAACTTGATTCAATGGCTGGAAAACGAGCATAGTCGTCACTGCCTGCCTGATGACGTGGCCAGTGGTCTTGCTAATTTACCCGTTGACTTCGTGTATACTGATGGTATTCCTGATAAAAAGAACAGGACAACCAAGGTTCTACCTGGAACGAGAAAGAGGCTAAATGGAATGGAAACGTACAGCCAGATTTTATCTTTCTTTACAACCATTAATATAACAGCTGAAGAGTTATACAAAGAGGGAAAAGCACAGCTCGATAACTTTATGCCTCTGGTAAGTTTGATATTCACAGCTTCCGAATGCCGATAATTATGCTAATTATGCTAGTTTTGTAAATTATTCTCATTTTAGCAAAGAATTCCAAAATAAGGCTTTTAGTTTTGACTTTAAACTTGGTAAAAACACCTAAAAAAGTATCCTTTAAACAAGTAAATGACAAACACATTTACCCTATTGACATCTAGAAACTTTAAGACTGCATAATCAGTCATTGTCTGACAACTATGCACCCTCGTACCCGGTGTTTTCGTTCCCCTTTACCAGCGCTCGTCAAGTCAGCATGCGCAGTAAGGGACGAAGACTCGAGGTACGAGATTGACAACTATGGATAACCGACCTAGTTATGCGCATGCGTTGAGTGACTTTATAAGAGTCCTTCACCACTTCATGTGGGACCAAGGTCCTATGAATGTACCAATAAGCAAACAAAAATTGATTTTGTAACTTAAGATCGCCTCTAACACTGATCCCGCGAAAAAAAATGGTTGCATGGGCAATAGTAAATGACAAAAGTGCAAATTATTCCAGCACTGAGTGCTTTTTTCGAAAAATGGGTGAAAAACAGGTGACGAATTATGCCAAAAATTATGTTAGCACAATCTGTCAAAGCCTAGTTATTTCAGCCTTCTCAGTGCACTTATGTCCAGGATAAAACAGACGCAAAATTTACGAAATTGATAACTTTTCGCGATGGCTACAAGAGAACTTTATTTTTGCGTTCAGCCCAAGCGACTATCATGCTACTACGAAAAATAGTAATTTGGCTTGTTGAAATTCCTCCTTTTTTCACGATGTTTACTGGGTAGTAGTTTATGCCTTTTTTGGCGTTTCCACCTTTTGCATATTTATCCCGCGCTTTTTATGGGTTAAGCAATTCTAGTGTAAAACTAGGGTTTTTCTGTGCGCCGGCACGAAACCCAGACCGGATACGGTTTCTGTTCACACATAAGAACGGTGATTTCGGCGCGATAATCTATCCTATATAGTGTGAACACAACCTAAGCGATTTCTGATCGTTTTATTCAATTTTTTTCCCCTTTTTTGGTAGGTGTATAAAATTGCAAAGCTCGTTACCGGCATAAACAAGAGAGCTAAAGCGGTAGAAGCTTTTAAAATTCGTCTGAATTCCTCCGACCAATGGCATAATACAGCTCCATTTCCCGCCAACGAGAGTGACGCGAACGCGCACAAGAAATGCAAGAGTCCATCCTCTGCCAAAGTCTACTGTCCGCGTCGTTGGGCCGCCATTCAAAGCTGGATCAAGTACATACAGACGGTCATGAGTATGATCTATCCCAAGATTCAACCGCTGTTTTACTTCACTGGTCCCAAGACCACTGCTGCTAACTGTCCTATTCGAATGAAGCCGCATTACAATCCTTCAAATGGTGCCATGTTCTTCTCGCCAAGCAACGCTAATTGCACAAACCCGACTTACTTCGGGCTTCCGTTTTTTCTGAAGGAATATGGCCCTAAGTTCCAGGAGTGGTCGGTGATCGGGCACGAGTCGCGACCAGGGCACCACACCCAGATGCAAGGTGACTAATGAGCCTCTTATTCTCAGTTACAGCACTGTTCACTTGTCAGCATTAAGCTTTACAACGGTTACAATTTCCACCAAAGCCAAATAAGATAATAACGTGGTTAATTCGTCAGCAGCATTTAGTGCACTGAGTTGAGTTATATGAAGAGGCACTGCAATCACACAAAAATTTCGATCACATTAAGTATAGTTTGCACGTGAACAAGTAAAACATTTGGGGTAAATATTCTTCGTTTTTTAAGCTAAGTACGTGAAAGTATTTACACCTCCACTGAATAAACGTTTATCGAAACGACCGGTAGCAAGTACATACTTATCGTGGCCTCTGGGGAGCTAAAGTTTCTGTTAAGCGCCCTGGGTGATATCATGACTTCTTTGTTTACCAGGTCTGGTGGAAAATTTTCGTGACAAGTGTGATGGCGTCCCTAGGTGGCTTGACAAGGAGACGTCGTATGTAGCTTTCCAAGAGGGCTGGGCCCTTTATGCCGAGAACCCGCTACTTTCCGATGATACTAATCTGTACGATGACGATCTTCTTCAGAAGTATGGTATGGTAAAATGGCAGGTATGCTCAGTACCAACAGGAAGAAAAACTACTTCCTCTAAGTAAACACCTTCTTTGGGTAGAGAGCGAGCCAAGATACAAACAAGAGTCGGAGAAGGCTAGAGTCACTGAACTTGGTTAACGACGTGTGAAAGAATGATAGCGGTTAAGTTTGAGAGTAATAAGACCCAATCCATATTTCTTTCTAAGCTTATGCTTATCAATATGTCCTAGGCTTACACTGTAAAACACAAACCTTAAGACTTTTGTTAATTTTCATATCAAATTTCCATTCGTACCATCTACAGTTCGAGTGCAGTGTATGGAGTTTGCAATCAGTATTCTCACTGACCTCTTGTTCGACGGTCAATCATCTCCAAATTATACAAATGTTAATTGAAGAAGGGGGTAAGCCGTTCGAGAACGTCATATCGGATGCTTTCTACTAAGTATGTGCATTTTTTCCTGACTGACTTGTTTTCTTAGGTATGGCGTGCCGTAAGGCTGGTTGTTGATACTGGGCTGCATTACAGAGGAATGACAAGGTAATAGCTGTGTTTCTTGCGCTTCATTGATCGTGCTTATAAACTTCCCCGTGTGATATTTCATAGAGTTTTTAGGAACACCCTTCAACTTAAGGAGCCTGTTGCACTATTCTACGCTTGTGAGTTTTTTTTTGTTTCTGATTCGGTCGAACAATTAAGTTGGCTGCCCCTGGCTGTGGTGGATTTATACTTTCAAAACCGTAAACTCCCCTGTTCCGATTATAAGCTCCTCCCAGTCTGTGAGCCAGACATTGTAGTACTGTTTACATTGGGAATTACAAAAAAAAATTGTTAATTTCGTCACTAGAGCCTCGCCGGCTTGCCATTAGTCATGCGCAGTAGAGTTATGATCATTTATTCATAATAAGTCTTCTTACATGAATCAATACCTGCACAAAGCCAGCGATCAGAGTTTCCTAAGTGAACAAAGGCATTTCTTCTGCTACACGTAAATTAGGGAAAGCGGTTTATTGGGCAAAGAGACATTAACCTTCTGCTAAATTTTACATTTTCTTTTTTTGCTAGGTCTCAAGCACTCAAATACTTTGAAGACTATACTTGGGATAAAACAGATTTCGCAATCAAAGAGGTTACAAGGTACCAGAGTAACCCTGGTCAGGCGACCGCGTACATGCTAGGAAGACTAGCACTAGTAAACATGCGTAAGAAGGTCAGGAAGGCACTGGGTAAACATTTTGACTTGCGGGAGTTCCATTATCAGCTTCTGCGTCAGGGCTCGGCTCCTTTGAGCTATCTTGAAAGTTACATAGACAAATATATTGACTGCTACAAGGGAAAAATAGAACAAGAACTTTGCGATGGTATATCAAGGAATTCAGAGGAAGAAAAAAATGAGGAAGTGACTATGGACTTTGTAAATCAGGATGAAAATCTTCCACCTCGTCCCACTCAGAGAATTTATGTTTAATTGCGATTTCACGTAGCTGTGGTAGTTGACCCTGTACAGAAAGTCCGGCGCACGGTTTTGGTGTTCATAGAACTCCAGTTTTTCTGAACGCTCAATACAAGAGCGCTAACTAGTGTCTCGACTACAGGTATATAGTGGTGAAAAGTCCAAGCGCTTCTAAGAGACACTTTTGTAAGCGGACGGTTCGACTTAGATCACAGTCAGCAGCCTTCACAAATCCCCGTATGAACTCCCAAGCGAATTCTGCATTTATACACAGTCGCCGTAAGCGGCCGCGGACACTTGCGATGGGTATGATGTTAACTATTGTTTTGTTCCTAAACTCCCATGAGCGGATTCGCGTAGAATTAAAAATAAATCTTGTTTTTTGTGGTCTTGTCTTAAAAGCCTGTCGTGGTATACAGTACTTTTCTTTTTTTTTACTTACCTGTATTGCATATGATAATAAAAAGCTGTCCACTGTCTCTTATCTTGCTAGCGCCCGCTAAAAGAGATTATTCCCATGACCGCCGGCTCCATTACGAACAATTTTTCTACTTTCATTCTGAGAGTGTCGGACTAGTGTTTCAAGTGTATAGTATTCAATTTCAGTAAAAATGCTGCTATATTAGCTAATCTTCATCATTTCGATTTTCTCCGCTGAAACTTTTGGAATTGGTTCTCAAAGTAAACATATGAATCAGTCGGGTTTATTGTATGTGTTTCACAAAATCTTAAAAAATTAAGGCTTCCTTTACCATTCCAACCGACGTTCCCTCAAATGGCTGGAAATCAGGCCCATGGTTAAACTGGTTAAAGTTATACATATAAAATGGCGAGTTCACTGTGGGAAGCAAGGCCCTTTTTAACTTGAAATACCCTCAAATAATACTGGTCCTTAGACAAAAAGAGCTTTACTTTTCGCAACAAGAAAAGCCATGTACTCTGAACTGCTTCCGTTGTATGCTATAAATTCCTTTACTATCATCTCGCCCAGTGTTACGAAATCAAAACGAGGCTATATCAAGTTTTATCGGGGCGAGCTGATCACATGACCACAAGTGATTTCTGTTATTGGAAGATTCAACAAAGATTAACTGGAGTTTTGCGTGGTAATATAACTATTATTAGGAGGTATGGTTTGCGCATTTTAGGAAATTACTTCCAAAATGCTCGATAACGAGAGGTAAGTGATTAAAAGGAATTTAGTTAAAACAATGTTTAAATTTCAGCAAAAAATACCAATGTTAAAAACGCAACCAGTGTATTCATAAACTTTGTTGACGAAGAAAGGAGGATCTTGCAGGATATCTATGATAAGACATGGACCTAGTATGATAGTTTTTGTTCAGTCAGTTTTCGATTTTCGGGAATAATCTAAACTATAGCCAGTCCAAATTCTTTTAACTGCACTGTGTGGCCAATGTAGTTTGTTTGTTCCTGAGTCTACCCGCATTAATTGATCGATCATATAAATCAAATTTGAACTAATAACAACTCGTAGCAGATTAAGCTAAACTTTTGATCTTTAAATCCAAGTGCGTTTAAATGAAAGAAGCATTTGTCAATACTATCATATCGCAAAGTCAGCTGCTACAAGCTGTGTTTCATTCATAAAAGTTTGTCGCCATTTTTATTTTGCTTTAATCTCCACCTGCTCGTCACCTGCCAGTCGATTTGTCTGTGGACCGAAAGGTCACGTGGGCTGGAAGAGCTACTTTTCCCTTAGCTACTGGTGAGGTCACAAAAGAAACAATGGGCCATCTCCAAGTTGCCCCAAGCCTCTGTTTCAAAGCGAGGCTAAGTGCGAAGCCATTGATACGAAAGTGAGTTTCATTCTCATGCAAATAAAACTCATTTTCACAAGAAAGGTTTTGCACTTAGCATAGTTTTGAAAGTGACAGTTTTGGAACCCCGGAAATGGTGTAGCTATTTGTCAACAAGTTTTGTTGAAAAATTATTATAAACCTACGTTTAAGGGCCAGATACAAGGGGACTGCGTATCAATTCATAGCACAACAGTGCTCTAAAAACAACAACAAAGACAACAGCAATCCTAAGCAGGAGGGAGACTGACTACTTCTAGTTGTATATTGCAGTTTTATGTGGAAATTAAGGTGATGGTTTATATCGGATAACAGAGCTAACTGCCTCCTGGCCTTGGTACCCATGAGAAGATGTTTGTAAAACTGTTATAAATTAACTGTCTTAGGGCGATGTTCAGACTAGTGGTTGTCCTTCTTGTGGTGGTCAGCTGTTTATCGCACAAAAAGCATGCCCTTCACAAGCAGCATTTGAAAGTTGACCATTCAGCGAAGAAGTTCAATATCTTGACACACCCCAGTAGTGAGGTATTTAATTAATCCACTAAGAGAGAATGAGTGAAGAGAGCGAATCCCCCGTACATGGCCCTCCTCTTATGATACTTGCTATGAAAAATTTTTTCAATCTAATTTTGATTTTGTGTCATACCAGTTTCTGGTCATACCTCAAAGCTATTATACACCTTATTGGTCGGCGAGAATGACGTCCTGTAATCTTAAACCTGGCGGATTTCTCATTCCACAGCCGATCACACAGCAATCAATAAGCACGACATGCGAATGTGGTATCAGTTTCATGAAAGTCAAAGGATTTCGACAATTCTTGAATAATAAGCGGAACTCGATGGTGATTTACATATCTTGCCAAGTTCCTGTATGGCGGTTTCTCAGGCCTTCTCGGTCAATTCACTTTGGTGACGTATCCGAGGCGTGGAATAATGGGGCCTTGGGACTAGGAAATAGTATACCCACAACGTAAACTTTAACGGCTGTCAAACGTCAAATGTTTGGTGGAAAAACATGTTCGCGTGAAGCAGACCGCGTGGTCATGGGAACAGCAGACGAAAATTATTCGCGCCCCTTCGGCGCTAACCAAAAATAGATTTCAAATAATCCGCATGGGGCACAGAGATTCGCTCCCTTCCTTCATTTTCCCTTAGTTATATGAAAGGCTTTAGATCGAGTGAAAGATAGAGTCAAGGTAATCTCCAACGGCACGTTTTTTTTTCCGCCTTACACAACAAACCGCACTTTTGAAAACCAGTAATGCCCAATCTGCGTCGCGCGGGACGACAATCCTATTTTTGTCCGAATAATTTTATATATAGGAGTACTTCTCTTATAATACACAACTTGTGGAGAACAGGACAAAAAAACCCTTCCAATGGGACAAGGGACAAGAGATCCAAAATAGCAAATGAATTTGACAAGCCAATTCAAAAAAAGCGGTCTTAACTCGTGGATTAACTCTTCTTTTTGATCAAGGGGAAGTCCAGGAAGAAAAAGCTAGAAAATATATGCATATTTGTTCTAGAAAGGAAGGCAAGGATAGCTGTTAGTTGTCAAGCCACAACTAATGGTTGTTTGATTATGGTAGATGATCATTCTCGTCCCCAGAGCCACTCGGCTTAATTTGTCACCGACCAGTGGTTTCCCTACCACGTGACCAAGAAACGACGGGCTCTGGGGACGAGAATGGATAGATGATAGGCCTAAAGCGGTCAGCGGTTTAAAGGTCAAATGAACCAAAATTTCGACCTTTTTTATTTTAGTTCAATTCTAGTGAAATGTGTTTAATATGAACCAAATAAACATACTATGAAGTCTCAGCTCAATTGAAGCAAGTATCTCCGAGATATTCGCAATTGAAAATTGCTGTTTTTTGGCCCTTATTTTCGTAGAGCGGTCGGAAAAATTGTCGGAATAAACAGCTTGTGACGTCAATGTTGGTCAAGTGAAAAAAAGCGGGAAATTCAAAACAGAGTTTTTGGAGTCGACTTGGCGCAGAAGTGGTTTGTTCGGCCATTAACCTGGAAAGAACAGGCAATTTGTCTCCAAAAGTTGCAAGCTGTGGTTATAACCTTCTTATTACTCAATTTTCTCGAAGAATACATCATAGTAAAACGTCCTTTAACGACATTTACTAATTTCCTTGAGTTGTACTGGAAATGTGCGTGTGTAAGTCCGATTTTTTTCAAGATGCATTCACAAAATGTGTTCATATAAGGAAGTTCTTGGATATATAAGGTCCGGAGCTCCACCGTGGACACAAAAACAAAATATCTTTGTATAATAATCTGCCCAAAGAAATTCAAGTTTGCCCACAATGTGTTTGAAGTCACTGAACTTTGTCGCACTCGAGCTGATATTTTAAAACCCACGCTCGACTGGACACTTCTAGTTTCGCAGATCACTAAAATATAAACAAAAACAAAATTGTTTTGGCGTTGATATGTGGGCAGAAAAAGAGTTAATCATTATCTAGTAAATCTTCCCCAAGATCGTTTTCAAAGCAACCATAGTTTTCTAAACTTGATCCTTTCGCGCAGATTAATTTTGCTTTGTGTTGTCAAGTTGAACATGCATAACACTTGTTAAAAACCTACGCGTAAGTAAGATTTCCTTCAAACAAAGTTAAAGTTACATTATTGCAAAAACTTATTTCCAATTATGTATAAGATTTAATTACCGATTGAGGTCACTTTAAGGACCATAGACGCCACTTTAAGCTGGCAAAGAGATGCGACAAGCAAAGAACAATTCCATCATGCATAAAATTCAGCTTAAGTGAACTAAAAAAAGCCTCAATAAGGTTGCAAAACAACAAATTTTCATTAAAAAAACACAAGGCTTGGACTCCTATACCTGCTGACAAAGAAGAAGTGAATTTTCTGTACGGAAATAACCTACCTAAAGATCTTTTAAGAAAGCAAAAGATCAGTTGCAAGCTTCGCAGCCAAGTCATGATTCCGACTACTTAGCTAGATTAGCTACTTTTTTTAGTAATAACTGGTCCATGCGAGGGTCCTCACTCAAGCAAATTAAACTCAGCAAACTGAATCATCAGAAAATGCAGAAAACTGAACATAAGGATTTGTTTTACTCGCTTCAGTCAAATCCAGCTCCAGCAATCGTTTACGGGCAAAGAGTCGATTGTTTTGGAGTCACTGCCGGCAGTTGTCGTTCTCCGCTACTTCACAGCAAGTGAAAGGAAAATTTGCGTACAGAAAGATAACAAAACTATGCAATTAAAACTGAAAAAACTAAAGGAAAAAACTCTGACTATTATTACTTGAGCAACAGAAAAATGATCGAAGTAGTCTTTTCTTCTCGAGTAAGCTTGCTGGCCTTCTAAAGTTCCGAGGAAGTTTTAAACGCTCAACTTTGTTCACTCGCGAGCGTTAGCGTTACGGTTTTTTGACATAAGACTAGGATAAAGCTGGTTCTCCAAAGGTAAATAAATCTGGGCATGTAAAAAAACTAACCGTAACTACTAATAACGGGATACAAGCGGGTTTTAATTCAGTCAAGCGAAAGAAGGCGAAGAACTGGACACAAAATCAATTCACAAATCGAATGCACAATTATCAGAAAAATACAAACCTCTTTTGAATGTTCAAAACGTTTTATTCCTCCTCAGACTGACGGAATGATCTGTTTTTACTCTAACATTGGTTGTTCTGAATCCAAAGTAATTTTCAAGTGACGAAAAACAACAACAACAAAAACCAAAAAAAAAACCTTTACAAGGAGCAAACGTTCGCACCTCGCGTATTTCATTCAGTCTCAGTCAGAACTCTCACAGAACGAGAAAAAACCCTGAGAAAAACGAACGCAGGCAATAAGGGATGCGCAGAAGCTTGCGCAGAACGTTTTTCCGTCCTGAAAGACCAACATTGATGTCACGTAGTCTCCAGTCTATCACGCGGCCATTTCGGAAACGTTTTCGTGAAGTCTTCGGAAATGCTCGGAGTTTGATCTTTTATCTTTCTGTAAAGGCCTGGAAAGAAAAATCTTTACCCAAATCTCACTTAGGATGGTTCTTTTTAGTGTTTGATGAAGGTAAAGCGGCAAAGAAAATATTTCAATTTTTTGGTTCATTTGACCTTTGAGCTAAAAGCGGTAGTATCAGTTTGCGAAAAGTCGAAGAGTTAAGCTGCTAACTAGATTTCATTGGTGGCTTATGATCCATTTGGAGGAACAAGCTTTCCATTTGATGGAGTCGCTAGAAGCCACATGCCGCTCGCGGTTTTGAAGCTCGATCGAGCGTGCTCTTTCGACTCGCTTCACTCGCCGTAAATGGAGAACTTGCACGCGGGCTAATTATGTCTCCTTGGTTTTTGGTAAGTGCTGAGAGCTTGAAAGTTTGTCTGTTCTATTTAGGATAGTATGATGGTGGTGATGAAAGGTCAAGACGGAGTAGCCGGACAAAATGGTTCACGGGTATGTTATTTTTACATGGCAGTATAAGTGGTATAAGTGCCGTGATTCAAGACGTCTTTTTTGTGTCTTACAAAGTTGTGGTTTGCAGCCGCAAAGATCGAGTCGCCGGGTTATTTTACCATTTTTCTTTTCATTTTATGCAAAAACAAGTGAATCTACTCGGGCCATATAGTCTTGCACGTTTGTAAACAAACAATACGTTTTACTAAGTGTTTGCTCTCAGTTACCAGCGAGCCGTAAGTATCTTCTTTGACAACTGTTTTATCTGAGAAGACGCACAAAACCTGCTGATGTAATTTCCGGGCAGGCAGTGTTGCCAGCCAAGGAAATTTGTCGGAAAACTGGCATTTTCGCTAGTAATCGTGCTGTGTCAGGGTTGTATTTTTCCTAATGCAGAGTGATGTTGTTTACTTAGGGTGATCCTGGAGCGCCTGGTTACCCTGGGCCACCTGGACCAGCGGTAAGAATTGTATTGGTTTCCTAAAAGCACTGTAATGAAACTCCAGCGAGTCTCTGTAAATTTCAGTAAGTAAACCAGAATGGTAGCATTTTGGGAAAACTTTGCCAAATGGTCTATTCATGGATCATGTAAATAAAATGGCTTGTTGGCTATAGCAAATGGTAAGATTCCAATGAATACAGTAAGCAAACAAATATATAGACTGAGAAGAATAATTGTTAACTATTTACCACATTTAGTGTATATGGCAGCATCAGATAATTTATTTCCGAGTGAATAACATCTATTTTGAAGTCTAGTGTAATCGTCAAATTATTTTTCCCTTCGAAATTTAATCTCCATTGGCATCATCAAGTTAACTTACCAAACATATTCTTTAAATATTGCACAGGGTCTTCAAGGAGCTCCAGGGTTTTGCACCAAAGAACAGGTGAAAAGATTTTACCATGGTTTCCCGGAAATAGTTGTAACAACTACTATGATGTGTTTTTTGCATGGTTGCAAACCGATTCTAGTTTGCACTCAAGGCGAGTCGAGGCTCTAGTGAGGGTATATACAAATTTTCTAGTGATATTCACGTTGAGTTGGAATTATAACACTTTCATTTTTGTTCAACTACATGTACTCAAAATGCAAGTCAAACAATTTGCCGAGATGTTCAGTGTCATTCTATGACAAACATATTGCCCCAACGTGCCCCAGCTCCGGCAATTAATCAGCAATAACTACGGTAACTCTTGAAGCATTATGATCCCCTAGTTATCACAGACATTTTCTTTTTCACACTGGTCATAAGTGAGTTTAGCACCTTCGCTAAAATTAAGAATTCTTGGGAACAAAAGCTTTTGACGGTTTACTCTTTTTACCTTAATTACGGTCAACATTTTTCAGTGGTTTCACATACAGCCGCGGTCAAAATGATCACATTTTTGAGTATTACATATAAAGTTTCATTTTTGATTTTTTTTACAGTGTGAATCAAACGAACTTAAACTCCTGATCCAACGTGTAATTGCCATTGAAACGTACGTTAAGGAAAAACAGAAACAAGCTGGTTCCCAGACTCCTGGACAAACAGCTCCATCCCAAGGGACAACTACAGCAGCTCAGCAGCCACCCAAAGCTGTCGCACCAGCAGTGCCGGTCACTGGACAAGCCAAACCCGCCCAAGTGTCTAAAGCACCAGTACAACAACCACCTAAACCTGTTCCGCCGGTTGTTCCAGTTCCTGGACAAGGTCAAACTGCACCAGCAGGGCAACCTCAGGGTCCTCAGGTAACACCACCGCAGCCCCCTAAGGCAACTGCGTCGGTCGTCCCTGCTCCTGGCCAAGGTCAACCCGCTATCCCCGTTTCGCCACAGGGGTTTAAGAAGCCTTTACCCCAGCCCTCTACGCCCGTTACACAGCCTGCCCCTTCGCCAGTTTCTGCTCCGGTTCAAGGTCAGCCCGCGCCCGCACCTGCTGTTCCCGTGGGAACGCCCCAGGTCCTTTGGGGATCCGTAACAGAGTCACCTGCTCCCGCCAGTTTTTCCTCGCCTCTTGGTGTCACTGTTCAGAGCACACTAGAAGCGCCTGGAACATTCGTTGAAGGGAATGGACAAATAAACATTCAAGTGAGAAAACTAGGGCAGTGAATATTTTTACTCTTAATGAAGACTGGGTAAAAGGAATTTGTGAAAATATAATTGAATGTCGTTGAGATGAATTGTTGTTGTAGGTGATAGTTAATTTCACAGGGGAATATGAGAGAAAAAGATCGCAACCAAGAATGAGCTGTGGAAATGTTCTGCAACAACGATAAACAACGCTTCGCTCTCTGAAAACGAAGAATACCGGTGAAGCTTTCTAATGTTTTTAAAACAACAAAACCGATATGCACTCCATACCGAACTACCAGAGTAGAAAATAAGAACTTGGGAACAATAAAAAATGATTTGAAAAATGAACTGCAGTTTTGCATTACATAACAAGACACTTTTGAATTGTCTCATAAATATTTCTTGTAAATGTATTTTACTGTCTACAGCAAAAGCTTATTTCATTTGACTATTCCGGTACTAACCTGAGAAAACAGACGACATTCCGCGACGTCACCGCTGGTTTCCACACCAAATGACGTCTGAAAAACAAGCGCAGAAATCCATCGATATCGATGACACGGCACTACCCAGATCTGTGTAGTGCGTCGGATTGGCGGGAAATTTTCTTTAACCAATCAGAAGTACTACCCAGATTTGGGTATGAAATTTCTGTGCCCGTTTATCGGGCCATGTCCACACGAACCTGGAGATTTTTTTAACCGCATATCTTTTATCCGGATTCGTGTGAACGGGGCCTTAAACCGCTCTGGAAAGCGGTTTCAAAACAATGCGGTTTCGTTGTCCGGGTTCACTGGTTTCGTGAAAACGGAAGGCCGATTCGTGTAAAAAGGTGTGCTGTTTCAAAAATGTCTCAGCGGATTCATGTGGAATTAGCTTCAGGTATGAATTCGTGGTCAAACCAGTGGTGGTGTTGCAAAATGTCGGCTGTTTTCTTAGGCTATTCTAGTAATTAGAAGTAACAAAAATGTTCATTAAAAATGATAGAGAAATCATGAACAAAAGTGCCTTGTTTAGGTTGAAGTTATCCTTTCCAAACGTTTCGGGCGTGGCCCTTCATCAGTGGAATTACCAGTTCGTTGAAACTGCTGCCAACGAACGAACGAACGAACTGAAAATTCCACTAATGAAGGACCAGGGGCCCGTTTTTCGAAAGTCCCGTTAACTTTACGGGCCCGAAATCAAATATTCAAATCGAAATAAAACGAATAAGAGCGCGGGTCCTGGCTAGCAAACTACTGCATTTTGTTTCGTTAACTGATAGTTTTATCATGTTAGATGCAAAACTATTGAAACCTCGATCTTTAATGGAAACCGAGACAGCTTACCGAGCCCGTTAATTATCGGGACTTTCGAGAAACGGGCCCCAGGCCCGAAACGTCTAGAAAGGATAACTTCAACCTAAACACGGCACTTTTGTTCATGATTTCTTTATTATTTTTAACGAACACTTTTGTTACTTCTATTTTCTAAAGTGCTACGCAGCTTAACGGAAATTCTTTCGTCATTTGATATTCTAGTACTTACAGCATGAAAATCCATATTTAGTAGATAAATAAAGTTCTCCATTTATTTCTCGGCTCTTTGTTCTTGAAGGGAGTTGTGACCCCTGAAGTGTCGGTTCAAAGCTACACGGGAAATACAGGAACCGGTCCGCAGCCTGGGACCACGCTCAAGAAAAACAGGTTAGTGGATCAAAATAGCTGTAAATATTTTTTCAGGCGCAAGGATTAGGATAGTCAGTAAGTGCACTGCCTTCTGTGCGAGAGGTCTCGAGTTCAATTCCCAGGTGTGACCTAAAACCCTTGTTTCGACTTCTTTTGTTTCCGTGTAGCGAGTTGGGTAGAGAAATACCAGATAGTCCACCACAACAACAATGTTGATCTGAGCCCATTGGCTATTAGCCGACTACATTGGAACCTCTATTTAACCAAGTCCTGGGTGTGACGAACAGTTTTCTTTACCCCAGTAATAGTAAAATGTATCAAGAACCATATTTTTATGGCTCTTGAATGTATGAAAAAGAACCTCGATATAGCGAGCAAATTTTGCCGATCCCCTGGCCCTTCGTGAAATCGAGGTTCTATTGTAAATGGTTTATGTGTATAACCTTTCTACTCTAACTTATTTCCTTCTCAAAACAACATCATTCCCCCCCAAAAACACAACCAGAATGCTCCCTCGAGGCATTTTTACTACGTATGTTAATTCAAAGTTGTCTCTCTGGTTTGTTTTTCATACAGAATTCCATCCCACGCTAAAGTAACCAAAAGTAAACATGCGCACAAGAAGTCAAGTCATCATTCCACCATCCGGACCCATAGGGTTTATAAGTCATGATGCAGCAGCTACCGAACCGTTAGTAACCTATGCAGTAAACCAATGAAAATACTCAAAAAATCGTATTAAACTGAGGAAACAGCCTCTGAGAAGCTTAAAAAACGCAAAAAAGGACCGCGAGATAATTTATCACACACAAAAAAATACAACTGACGAAGTCTGTAGGTTGTTATATACGTAAGTAGGTAAGTAAGGGAGTTTCTAGTTAATGAGCAAGAGGGTGAAAAAGTAACATGTTATACAGTAATTATCACACCAAAATGACCCAATCTCCATTTTACGAGGCGAGATTTGCTATAATACCCCTCAAAGGAAATTGTGTCTTATGAATTTCTTCACATGAAGGAAGAGTCACCAGAGCTCAATTCAGAGGGAGACATTGGTCTCCAATTTTCAGATTTTAAAAGCCGTACAAGATTGGAAGAGCAGAAAATGCGATCATTAGGTGACTTGTTCACCACCTCTACAGCGAATTACGATCGTGCCCCCAGAAAAAGCCTGCACTTCAGACTAGCTAATGAAACCAAACAAAAACGTGATCAATAAACTGAATATTAATATCATGATAAGATAAATATGAAGAGTTTGATAGGCAGATCTTGACTGGGTCAACAATAATATATCTTATCAAATTGCAAGCCATAGAGAAAACTTCGTCCTGGTAGAAGGGTCCCTAGCCTTCCTGAGCTACCATGTGCTAGTCACCGTTTCCCACCTTGCAACACTTGGCAAATCGGTAACATGAGAAACAAAAGATTGGCTCCGATAGAAGCGGGTCTCCCTTTTTCGATAGCAGGATCATCCTCCTAGCCCGGCCAACGTTTCTCCATATAAAACAGGTATAAACACTTTCCCTCGCCCAGCCGGGTATACCCGGCAGAACATGGGCGCGCGCTGTTGTATCGGGCAAAGGGGTCTGTTGGGTGTACTTATGGGTGTGTTAGATTGATGGTATTTAGGGTATAAGAACACGAAAAAGTTTTGTTACCATAATTCTCTTGTACCGTAATCTTTGGACTTCGTAAACGATACTCACATCAGAAAATTTTATTTCAAGCAGCTTGCAAAATATTGCAGTGCAATGAATGCCAAAACAACTGATTTCTAGAGCTTATATTCCCTTTATTCCTATTTCGGAATACAGTCAATCGAACACGTGCTAAGTCAACTCGGCTGGGTGAGGTGACCTCAGTCAGTTTTTCAAAAATACTAAATGTATTTTCAAAAATAAAGATAACGTAAGTTAGACGGGTCCTTATTGTATGTAACCTGCCTTGCCAATGTCATATGAACCTGTTTAGCTCTATTCAGTTCTCCCAGCTGTTCGCCAGACTTTTCTTTAATTTCCCTAAAAATTCGATATTCTGCTTTTGGCCGGATCATTTCAATGTCAATTCCTTAATTTATTCTGAGTAGTTTCAGTCAAATGAAAAAAACCTTGAACCTCGAATCGGTGAATACGAACAAGAGTATGATTACATTGTAAGAGGCTCAATCATTCGTTCCCGCGCTACATGGTTTGAACAAGGGGAAAGAAACAACAAGTATTTTCTAAATCTGGAAAACAGAAATAAGAAAAAAAGCTGCATACGGAAACTTATTCGAGCAAATGGAGAAGAGACTACTGTTCCGGACACTATTATGACTGAAATTCACAGTTTTTATTCTGAACTTTATGACGAAAAGTCAGGAATACAAACTGACTATTCGATTTGTCCTTTTCTGGAAGATACCCTCTCATCTCCTAAGTTAACCGACTCAATGCGGGAAACGTGCGAGAGACCAGAATGCCTTTGTAAAAGGACGAACAATTTTGATGCAACTCGTACGATAACCGATGTGTTGGAATTTACTAAAATGCGAGACTACCAAGGTATAATGACTGCAATTGATTTTGAGAAAGCCTTCGATTCTCTAAATTGGAACTTCCTCCACAAATCGCTAGAGTTCTTTGGCTTTGGAGAATCCTTCTTGGGGTGTATCAAGACGTTTTATAATAATATATCAAGTTGTGTTTTCAATAATGGTTTTCCACCCCTCTTTCAATGTTAAACGGGGTGTTCGCCAGGGCGACCCACTCTCGCCATCTCTTTTCATAATAGTGATGCCAAAAAAATAACAGTAGGCTGATTGATCTTGGAATTGTAAAATTGAGACCTCTACGACACGTGGGAAGTTAGTTCTTTTGTTTTTGTGAAAAGGAGTTGCGGTGAATAACCCCTTTTACAGTTACAAATGAAAACGAAGCTGGAGTACTCCTTGTTTTGATACAACCTGAGTTCCTGCATCATTATGTAAACCTTTTCGTTCTTATGCTTACTAGTATTTTTTTCTCTAACTTTTGTAAACCGCTTGGTTTATTCTGCTATTCGGGTATCTAAGTTAGGTTTAAATAATACTCCCTTACGGGTGGAGGGGAGGGGGGGGCGAGGGGAGTGGTACTCCCATATATGGGATAGTTAGGTATGTGCTGCCCGATAAGCTATTGTTTTGGGGGGTCTACATACTTAAATAGGGTATCATTTTTACCTTTGTTGGTATTGTGTTCCTTGAGTGATCCTTAGATAAATATGAAACGGCAAACTGATCCTTACTGCAAGGCGATGAAGAAGTAAACAAAACAATAAAACAAAAAATATATATTTACAACTGGGAGATCCGGCACCACCCATTGGTTTTGTCTCTGTGAACTTGCTGATATTTTATATATTTTGATTCTTAGGGGGTGTTTACATGAGAAAACTCGCACCGGCGCGAGTTTCATACCGGGATGACTTTTTTAATTTCGTATCGCGTTTACATTATGACTGGGTCATTTCATATCTCGTTATTTAAAGGTACACTTCACGTTGATCAAATTCACGTAAGATTCAAAATCGCAAACATTACCGGCAGACCGATTTCACACTGAAACGTTTGGTCGTTTCGCGTTTACATGATACCGTTGCGAGATTTCGTACCGGAGTGAAATTCTTGTCCCGGTAGGAGAACCGGGGTGACCCGCGGCGGCATAACATTTTGTGTTGGTATCATGTAAACAAATATAGAGCCATGAGAGGGAACCGGAGTGAACTCGCTCCGGAGCGAAAGTCGCCCCGGTGTCATGTAAACACCTCCTTTGATAGGATACTAGCCTGAGAAAACGGCCGACATTTGGCGACGCTACCACTGGATTCCCCGTCAAATGACGTCTGAGAAACGAACGCAGAAATTCCATACTGATGACGCGTCACTACCCAGATCTGGGAGTGCGTCTGATTGGTCGTGCCGCGTGGGAAATTTGATTTAACCAATTAGAAGCACTACCGTAGTGACCCGTCATCAGGATGGAATTTCTGCCCTTTTTTCTCAGACGTTATTTGGCGGGGAAACTAGTGGCCCTGGGGGGGTACTCGCAGAAAAATTGGGTAGGGGTGTGCGGCCCGCTGCGATTTTCCCTACCCTATTTATGACCTAACCCAAAATTTGATACCCAATTTTGTGAAGGGCTTTTGTTGCTTGTATTTTCTAGCCTACAAAGCAGCCGGTGGAGAGCAAGGCAAAGCGCGGATGGAAGGAGGGGGACATGATAAGGAAGTAGCTTCTTCTAAAAAAGTGCATTCAAGACTACAGTGCAAAAATCGTTACCCTATTTATGACCAAAATGGCGGCAAAATAGCCAAAATCGATACCCAATTTATGACCAAAACGGCTGAAAAACCCTACCCTTTGGGGCCGCACATACCTATATAGCCCATATTAGGGAGTACCCCCCCCCCCCGGGACTAGTGGTAACGTCGGCTCTTTTCTCAGGACTAATAGGATACCTCAGTTGTATCAGTTGACATTCAAGTGCATAAATGCCCAGCCACACGAAAACACAGCATCTCTTAAAACTTACTTTTCCTCACAGTATGAGGAAAGCGATTTAATGACGGTTTGTGTGTTACCTGACCAAACCGAACCAGAATCAAGAAAGAAAAGGCAAAACCATTTTACTAAAAAGTTTCTTGTATTAACTTATTTGACTCGTTCAACCGCCCAAACTTTGCAGGCTGACGAAGCAGACGGAAATCAATGTCTTGAGTAGCTTATGAGAGCCAGGATTTGGCAGGAATTAACGCACCTTGGCCCATAGACTGGACTATTTCGATGGTTCATTCTACCGCCGCAAACAACTGCGTTTATTCGCCAGTGAATCCGACATGAGCTAGAGGTCTCCAAACCTTCTCACAAATACTCACACGGGTGATGCGCATTACAGCAGCAACGACAGCAGCAGCAGCAAAACGTATTTTATGTCCACAGTAAACTTTCAAAGAAAATATAAGGCAAATTTCAGTTTGTACACATAGATTATACTGCTTCAAGTTCACACAACTTCTTAGATATCTACTCGGATGAATGTTTAATGCATGTCAAAATCTCGACTGAAAATACCTGCGTTCTAAGCCTTTTGTTCAACCGACAGCATATCAGTGAGCTATTAATGAACTTTCGTCAGGGGCACGCAACGACTGCTTTCTGTAGAATATCGGCTTCAAAGAAGCAAATATTGCCTAGAATTTTCTATAGCTTGAGGACGGTTTAAAATATCTCAATGACCGTTCCATTCATGAACAATTTTCGAAGCTCATCTAGTAAATTCACTACTATTTTCCGAAGATGATGTTTGATGATACTTCCTTCCTATTGGTTTAGCTATTATTCGCAATAAAAGGAAACCTTAAATTTTTGGATCCGCAGGGCAGATGTGATGGAGACAGCGGGAATCAGAAAACCATTTCCCACCTTCGTTAAGCTTAAATTGCTTCTAAAATTTTCGGGAAAATAATACTAAACCCCCCCTTGCAAATTTAAAGAGGCTCATGTTGCCCTCAGGATGAACGAGCAAGGTCGAACAAATACATAGTTTTATAAGGTATTTCTAGAGATCCAAAATTTCGGGATAGAAAAAAAAATTTTAAGAGTATTTAGGGAGAAACTGCGTAGTTTGATGCCCGTGAATTAGGTATAGTTCAGTGGTAATGAGCTGGCA